TGAGTCATGCGGCGACCCTTTTCTAGGATCTAACAAATTAAATGTGACTTGTTCTGGCCCTTGCGTTAATCAAACATAGATGGATGAAAGTTTGTATATGGAATACTTAAATAATGGTTTTTATATTGATACAAATTAATGAAAATGTAAGTAATTAAATTAATAAACAAGTAAATAGCTTATAATGATTATACTGATATAACATATATTAGGTTTCATCACTGAATACAATACATTTTTTGTAGAAATTTCAACTGAAAATAAGTCTTACCGCGAATGTGTTTTTGTTTCATTCGTGTTTTGTTTTTAATTTGATATTTATCTGGAAATTCTATTTCGCAAGTAAGCGTATTGTTTCCTATAGGAAACATAATGCCCAAAGGAACTGGTTTGCTGAGAAGCAAATCTAAAATGTTATTGTGGTCATTTGTTTTATTGGCTCGGCCTTAGTAATTATTGTTTTAGATAGTTTTAGTATTGAAAGTGAATATATTGTAAGGAGATTATTAAAATAATGGTAAAATGTGCTTCTATTTGGTTGGGTTTTAACAATATCTATTTCTTCATCAATATTTACAGACAATAATACAATATATAAATTGCATTCAGGATTGAGAAGAAAGCTTAGAGATTATATGAAACTCTCGACTGTCTTTAATTTCATACCAAACAGCTATAGACAAACAGTACATGTACCAGTTTCTTAATAAGAATTATTGTTAATGATTATCTTGGGATTAATATGGATAATTTCCCTTGTATAGTTTACATTTTTCGAACAACACTTTTATATATTGCAAGCATCAGAGATAAGTTTCATCTATACATATACATACATGTACCTGCATATAAAACATACCGGTAGGCAAATAAAAGGACAATAGAAACAAAATATACCCTTTCTTAATAGAATAAATAAGTATACAATATTTTACAAATAATTGTGGTGGTATGTATGAAACAAGAATTCCCATGACACACCACTACAGCAATTAACTTATTTAATTTTGGGAACTGATCAATGTCAAGATTTTGAGATTGGGTAATTATAGTAATGCAATTAAGAGTATGACAAGAATAAAGACATTGATCATTTAGATTGAATACACATGCATGTCAAAATACTAACACTAAGCGGTAGGTGGGGGCATATTTTGTGGAGAACAAAGAGAAAAAATGCAATATTACGTCGTAGTTAATCATGCGTATTGTGCACATCATTGCAAAATTATATTATAAAATAAGAAACAAACATAACTTTTTATTTACGAATCACTCGAATAAAACGTTTTATTGGAAGGAAATAAAGTTTATGAAATTAGAACGTTATGAACAAACAGAATGCTGTCATGGAGAATAAGATAATCATGTAAAACATAATTCTATTACTTAATTGAAATGTCTTGTTTCAAGAAATGCGACTCAATAAAACACGTTTGACTCAAGATTCGTAATTATTACACTTTGATAAAACTTCTGCCATTTCTATAATGATCAATAAAGAAATCACCGCTAGTTTGTAATTATACTGCCCGTTGAAAACTTAAGCTGAAATTCTACACATGAGCAAATAATTCAAACCAGTCTTATAACTCTTATAAGTAAATAGTAAATAAAAGTACAGAATAGTCCAACTACGAGTATAGGTGTCTGCTTCTCAGAAGATTTGTTACACAAATGTGAATCACACGCACACACTGTTAGATTGCCTTGTCGCTCACATCTTGGTATCAATTTGACCTCTGAACAAGCTCTTGAAACTACTAGATATATAAATGAACATAAAAAAAAATCAATTGTCACAGCAAGCAAGCAACCGGAAATATCGGCTAGCATGCTTAACGAGAAGTTAATGAATTTTGTTTATTGATCAGCTATAATTATTTACTAGTTTTCAATATTTTTCTTCGAGTTAAGTTTTTGAAATATTCTTTAGAAAACAATAATTTTTAACTTATTATGTTTGTATCTTGGCTGAATATAACCACGACAGGAATTTTCTAATGAAAATTATTTTGTATTATTTTTGGAAGATCTTGTAACATTTATTTCGAAATAAAATTAAGGTTAACTTACTGTTATCGATTTCAGATTTAACACAGGAACCCGCACAGGTGTCTTGCTTTTCAGTTCTCGGATCAGATCGAAAGCATGGTTGACAATCGTAACATCTATATGATGATGATCCTGAAACTAGGAATTTTATATGAAATAGAAATGTAAAACAAAAATCCTCAAACATTTAATTAATTAGAAAAAGCGTTTCTTATTTCCCTAAATCAACAAACGTCTGAAAATGCTGTTAAATGTAAATAAATCTAATAAAATAAATCTAAATTTAGTTTTCGCCGAAAACAAATTCTTCGAGCTAGATATTACTGTCTGTAACGTCGTTTGGTGTATTATTCTCTTATATGACCGTACAAAACCAAATCCAACATTTAGTTTTTCTGAAGAACTTAATATAGCACATTTCCATTTATTTGTATCAAATTTCACCACTATTCAATAAAGAGTGTATACTCTACTGACAGCATGAACCAACTTTTCAACTTATGGTGAACAATGTTTCGTGTCGTGGTGGCTTCTCCTTCCGATTGACATGCGCAAAACAATTACACATATGCTGACTGGAAGTAATCATTGTGTGAATATAGCTAATTTGCAAAATATTCTTTTCGCCTACTAAATGAGAATTCATTTTCATAATTATGACAAAGATTGTTTATTTTCTTTTTATAAATAAATCGATAATACCGTTATTTGGCCTCAAAGGTCGAAGGCGAAGACTCGATAAGACTTTAGTGATCATAGTAGTGTGTCTTCGTGCCTTCGACATCGATTTCACGAAGTTACGAGACAGCAAAAATTAGCCACCATACAAACAAAGTAAGATTTCATACTGAAATTAAAGAAACTCCACTGAGGTCAAAAAGACTTACATCATGAATTTCTATTAAATATTTAGCGGGGAACTTAAAATAGACAGAAGAACGAAAGATAACGAAACAATATATTGATTTTTAAATTGACAATCGTACATTTTGAAGTTCTTAGTCTGATTTTAGTTACAAGCGTATAATTGCTTTTCGTTTTACATCATTTGACAATTTGAAATTATTCTAGAGAAACGTTTTTCAGCGAAAAACAAAATATTTGCAAGCTACACGGAGGTAGTACTGTAAATTAAATAATCGATTTAGAATAATCCATGTGAAATATATAAAAATATGAAGCAAAATACTCACAATGATGAAGAAATATAATTAAAACCAAACAAAATACAATAGGTTTCATTATAACATAAATAATAAGTTTTCACAAACTCCTTAATCGAATGAACATATAACAAAATCTTAAAGATAAGAATTCAATTTATATTTAATATAAATAAGCGGGTGACAGAAGAAAAGTGTAGCAATAAGATAATTATGTTTACAAAAGATAAATATTTTGGTAAGAGCCCGTCTACACCTATCCAAGTCTTGAATGCAAGTATCATATTCTCTTGTATTGGATAGTGTAGACACCTTACTTGAATGAGTTTTAAAGAGAAATTATGTGACATCCAAGAAGATAATTTCTTGCAAGAAAGTTAGAACACGTTCTATTTTTCTACAAGTTTTTGGCTGTCAAGACACTGATAACACCGGTTTGACACAAAACATGTGCCCCGAAGGTTTGATAGTGCTGTAATTTTTATTATTTTCTGACTTTTTGTTACTGATTCAGTGTACATGCCCTTTGAATTTCAGTAAATGATAACAATGTCTTGGTCAAAGGAACAAATCAATACGCTGATACACAGAAGAGCAAAAAAAAAATTAAATAAAAATAAATACATTGTAAAAAAACTAAAAAAGAGCTCTTTTTCAAGTAGAGTCAAAATGGATTTAAAATGATCTTGTTCATTTAGTGAATAACTTTCATCAAATAAAGAATTTGCATCAAAATAAATTTTTGTCACATTTTTTCAATTTTAAAAAAGAATGAACGCATTTCATTTACTCCATTCTGTTTTAGCTAATTGCATCATTTTCCCGCTCTTTTCACATATTTTTCAGAAACATGATAGTCTTGCAAAGACAAAGGTATAAATCCTGGGCTATCTTAATGAGACATTTCAGTAAAAATTGTGCCTGAAAAAATGTTGAAAGGGCCATTTATTTAGCTTATCTAAATGTGACATGTAAGAAACTTGAATAGGTGTAGACACGGCCTAAGAGGTATTTTATCTCAAATTTCATGATAGTGTGACACGCAAGTGTTTTAAGATTAAAGAGCAAGGGAGGCAAATGATGATGGATGTTTCTTAAGAAATGACTAGGTTATAGTGCTTTTTATATTTTTAAAATTCAAGTTTATATTAACAGACACAAACAATTTTATAAAGAGAAAATCAATAGAGATCAAGGTAAACAAATTTAAATGAGAGAAAATAGCAGTCATGTCAAAAGAGTTTTATGCATGCATGACAGACAACGGAAAGTGCCATTATCTTTCATCCTCAAGTTTAATGTGTTGAACGAATTAAATGACATCATTATATTTTATGCAAATATTTTTCTTATTAATTTGGAAGAAATATGACATACTTATTAAGATATTATCATTTATCAGACATGGGATTTTTGGCCGATATTCAGTCGATAAGAGGTGTGTTAAATACAGATATTTCATTGGTTGCCTCACGATTTCATGGGCGACTAAAACCAACCAAAACGCTCGTTATATGCGAAGTCCAGTACTTCATATACAATTGCTGCAACCAGTTTTATTCAGTTGTGAAAAGTTCAATATTAAAAATTGAACGATTTTCAAAAAAAAATCTTGTTACAGATAAATTTTATATTCGCCGTTGAAGAATGTAATTTTTTTCAACGCGATTTCATTGGTCGATATTTATGCACATTTTTCTGTTAATCGACGCAAATCGATTAATGTTACCCACGGCATGATTATATAATAATCAACTGTTGGTGTCCGCTTTCACAGTGCTTCAAATATTCCAATAATTAATTTTGACTTAAGCTAACCACTGGCAGATTTTATGTAAAACTACGTTATATACATTCATATATACATGAATTTTAAACAAGCGACAGAGCATAGTACTGGGAATATATTTAAAAGATGAAACCACTTATGTGTTGTTTAGTTGTTACATTATTTATTCATAATTGTAAGTATTAATATTGAAGTATTTACTACATAAAATTATATGCTTTTAAATGCAGCTATACCATTATCGCAAAAACATACAAAACAAACTTTTTTATTGTATTGGCGTTTTGATTTTTCATAATATCTTAAGTGTATTGAATAAACATGTAATCTATTCAAAGCGCTGTGTATCGAATTTATTTTGTTTGTTTGAAGGACTGAAAGTCATTTTGAATATGTCTAAAGACTTTATATCCCATTTACTGACATTTAAAAGGTATAAGTGTTTTTAATTATGTTTGTCCAATAGGATTTCAGTATTTCCATTTACTTTAGTAACTCTGCATTAAAAGTTCCAAACTTTTAATCAGTTAATAAATACCGACTGTTTTGCACAGACGAAGACGTTGTTAGGAGGCGTGACTTTACACACGTATAGAAATATAGAGAGATATTTTAAGGGCGGACACAAATCTCCCTCCAAAAATACTTAACAAATACATTGTGAATCGTTTTATTATTAATTACAGAATAAACGTAACATATATGACACACAGCTAGGAAACCAACATATGAAATGAAAACTCCTATACAAATAAGTCTATAATTAGATAAGTTTAGTATACAGAGAAAATATAAATGCTTGTTGAACAACAACAACAACAATAATCTGTGAAGATAGAGCTCTGAAAAATTTCGCACTAAATGGCTTGCGTTGTTGGCATGAAAGTAGAAGGCAAGTGGCACACGCCAAATTTGTGAAAATGTATCACAAAACTTTCTGTGAGGTTTTCGATTCGATTATTCAGTTTGTCTTTAGTTTGTTGCTGTTCTAGTTTATTTGCTGTTTATTTAATGTTTAAATGAAATCGAAGCTTAACATATTAAAAGAAACGAATTGAAAGAAACGAAAATAATATTATTACCATATTGTGACAGATGCAGGAGCGTCAACTATAAGATGTTACAGCTGTGAGTCATGCGATGATCCTTTTAATAAAACTGCAGTTAATGTATCGAATGTGACTTGTTCTGGTTCTTGCTATAAGTCAAACAAAGAAGGTTGTAAGTATTTTTATATAGTACTTTAATAATGATTTGTATATTGTTAAAATGAATAAATATATAAGTTATTAAACTAGCCAACGTGCAAATAGCTTAGAATATACAGACATAAAATACAAAGTCATGTTTATTGGGTATCATCACTGAATACAATATATTTCCAATTAAAATTTCAACTCAATACATATCTTACCACGAATGTGTTTTATTTTTATACATTTATAGTTATGTGTTCATATTTATCTAATAATTGTGTTTCGCATTTAAACGTATTTCTACATCAGGAAGCTTAGTGCCCAAAGCAACAGGTTTGCTGGGTAGCAGATCTAAAATTGTGTTAAGTTCATTAAAATGTTGTTTTGTTGGCTCTACCTCAGTAATTATTCCTAAAGATGGTTTAGTGTTAAAGTGAATATCGTTGACATTAAGAAAAGCATGATGCTTTCGGTTGTTTCTTATACACATATCTTATTTAATCTGATATATTCAGTGCTCTCAAAAGATCATATTAAGGAAATTTTTCGAACGTTGTGAAGTTGGCTGACACTGACACATTTCAAAATAAATGTACTTTTCTAACTTTACAGGGATTTCAAGAGGTTGTTCAACTATTACTCTAGTATCAGTATGTCCACATGATGAACAACTTGAAGTATGTGCATGCAACACGTGTCTATGTAACACGTCTCAAGGAAAACACACATTTTTTGTTGGACTTTATATTGCGAGCATTATCTGTTTCCTTTCACAAACTTTCGATAGATATCATAATTGACGTTTTTCATATTGATTATCGTTTGCTTTTAACAGGTCTTTAGATATACATTATGACGAAAGGTTATTTTAAACATTCGCCATTACCAGCGAAAAGTACTTCCAAATGTTTTTAATTGTTCACCATACAGTTATAGACAAACACGTGTACAAAATTCTAAATGAGATTATTGTTCATGACTATCTTGGGATAAAAATGGCTGATTTCCCTTGTGCAGTTTAGCTTGCTAGTAAAACTTATATTCTAAATAATAAACAAAACAAAAACATAATATTAATTTTGAATGTGCACGTGTCTATGTCTTGCTCCCTTTCTCTATTATTTGTATTGTATGATAAAATGTTCATTTGAGTTACACGAGTTGAAATAGAGTCTGATGAAATTTTGTATAGAATTTAAAAACAGTTTATATGACTTTTTCATAGCTTTATAGCCGATTATCGAAATTGTACAAGTGAAAATTTGATAAAAGAACGATTGTTTGACTCTACACAACTAAATTAATACCGTATGTAAACATAATAAAATCTTTAGGGGCAAAATATTAAAATAAGATTTTAACCGTCTAACAATGATTTTGTGCATGTGCCAAAATATTTCTTTTCATACAGGTTTTTGAATTTATTCTTTTTTTTTCAAAATTCAAACAAACCTTGTGTATAGTACAGGCAGAAGAGATAAGGTTCCATCTACACATGCACATACTTTCATATAAAACATAGATAAAAAACAGTAAAAATATATCAACTCTGAAAAGAATTTTCAATGATAAACCTCTACCTCTGATCAAAGTATGACACTTTTGTTATTGGAGATTGTGAGATTGAATAATTATGCATGCAGGAGTATTTCATCGAGAATAAAGATATTGATCATTGAGATTGAATTAACGTCCGTATCAAAATACTAACATTAGGCGGAAGGTGAGAGATCAAGGAGAAAGCATTTTTCCTCTTAGTGTATTTTGCTAAAATATGATAATCAAGATCAACAATGATAGGCGGCGTTCGATGATCGTAAACCTTGCAAAGTGATATAATAAAAAAAGATTAATTATAGGTATAGAATTACATAAATAGAAGTTTTATTAAAGAATACCTTGAATCAATGACTTTATTGCAAAGACACATATTTTCGGCATGATATTTGATTGAACAATTAAAAAATGCCATCTTTTAAAGGCGGTAAATTATTTTCTACATTATTAAGTTTTTATTTAAGAATAGACGTATCATTTTATTGCAAAAGATACATCTTGTAAAATGTTTTTGTTTATAAATATTATTAAATGTTTAATTTCGATATTTTGTTTGTTATTTTTCCGGCGTTTCAACGTATAGACCATATGTCACCGAAACATGGAAGTTGTTTATTGTTATCTTTGAGCTTTAAAAACGCAAATGCAACACTAAGACACTACGAGTTTAAACCAGCATACCTACTGGAACTAAGAGATGCATTGTCTCCAAATGTTGCAAACCTATTAAATAGTCATATCATTTTCGATAATGAGAGACATAAATGGTTGTTTGAACCCTTCAGACAGGCACCCTATAGTCACGAAAGGGTTTAATGTGTCATAATGATATTTCTACCATAAAACAAATTGCATTATATAATACATGTATTTGAATTTTATAGATAGATATTATTTAATGTTTCATTTCGATTGTCTGTTTGGTTGTTTTTTACGGCGTTTTAACGTATAGGTTATATGACACCAAAACAAGGAAGTGGGTTTAAAGGAGAGCGAATAGAAATCAATATTACGCCATAGTGAATGTATATCTTTATACTTCAAATGATTGTTGGTGGAAACATGTCTGTTATGTCATACTTCCGTATAAATATAAAAATACACGCAATGAACCAATTCATGCACTAGAATTGATAAGTTTGATCATAAAAATTTTTCTTTTGAAGAAACGATCGCGTTCAAATCAGTTGATAACAACATTCCTAGGCAAACATTTGAAATACGCAGTTTTCATTTCCATATCTATTAATTATTACATGTAGCACTTGACAGGTAAACTATTTCGAAACCCTTAAAGAAAACAATAATATTAAATGTACAGCTTTGAGCAAACAGTCTAAAATTGATATTATTATGGTGTAGCAATTGTTTTCGAGTGAAACTTTAAAAAGCAATAAAAAATGATCATTAAAGATAATAATTGAACGGACATCGTGTCTCAGAAAATCTTTTCCCTTTTTATAAAGGTAAAGCGTAAGTTAAAAAAAAAATAATTTTCAAACTTATTAGATGCTTTTCACCTACAGAAAGTAGCACTGAATGTCAGAGTATTTGTCATAAGAGAAGCAGAATTTAACCACAGTGGTATTTTGACTTTTATACAAACTACTTAATCACTTTAACTTTCTAATACTAATTACTAAAAGACAACCGAGACGAACGATGGTTGACTTGATTTGCCATTGAATTACTTTTCGAAACTTAAAATTCTGAAAAATTGTTTGAGAAAAAAAAGTAAAAAATTATATAGTGCATAATGGGCCTGTTCAGAACAAAACTGTACACATTTGCCATGGTAATTTTATATCATGGAATCCTTAGATGTCAAGTTGAATAAGTTGATCATTTGATAAATAGTTCTATAACTTAAATGTCTGATTTCAAAACAAGTTCTTATCATATAATAAGTAAACGCATTCCTGCAAGTTCATCAGCAGACAATTTAGCCATGAAGTCAAGTGTTTGGTTTATAAATTCACAATTCATTGATAATTCGATCATTTGATTTATAAGTAGAAAAAGCGACTGAAGGCACACGTTTGGCTCAAGTTTCAGTAAGTAGGTAATTCATACTCTCTCTTTTATAATACGTCTGCTGCATTTTATAATGATCAAAAAAGAAATCACCGCTAGTTAGTAATTTACATGTAAACTACCCGTTGGAAATTTAAGAATCGCACGCATTCACTGTTAAACCGTCTTGTCTTTCACATTTTGGTATCAGGCTGACCTTTAAACAAGTTCTTGAAACTACTGAAAATATGAATGAACACATAGTTAAAATCCAATGTCAGCAAGGAAGCAAACAAGAAAATATCGTCCTTCATGCAAAAGTTACTAAATTTTGCTTCCTTATTAGCCATCATTACTTACTAGTTTTTTTTCTTCGAGTTAGTTTTTGAAATATTCTTTGAAAAACAATGATTTTTATCTTATGTTTGTATCTTGACTGAATAGAACCATGTCTGTAATATCACTGAACATTGTTTTGTAATACTTTCGAAAGATCAGTAGATTTTTATTTCAAAATAAAATTAATGTTATCGATTTCAGATTTAACACATGTATCTTGTTTTTCATATCTCGGATCTAAGTAATAGCATGGTTGACAACTCACAAAATAAAACAACAAAAAAAAAAACGACAACAAAAAACACTAAACACTTAGATCAACACCTCACAGCAATTAACAATATTTTTGCCTCCTTAAGGTTTCTGCTATACAAAGTTAGTAATTTAAATAAAAGAAAAGAACATGAATAATCCATGTGAAACATATATATAAAAAACATAATCCAAAATACTCACAACTATAAAGAAAAATAATTTAACTAAACCAAACAAAATAAAATGGGTTTCATTATGACATACGTTTTCACAAATTTCCTTAATCGAATGGAATATAAATTTTAAGTAACAAAATCTAAAAGATAAGAATACATTTTATATTAATATAAATGAGCGGATGACAGTATAAAAGTGCAGCAACCCGTCATTCCTCACCTAATAGTATGATAAGTAAGCCTGAAGCGAGTTGGTACCAGTGCGTTAGTTCCCGTTCAATTCATTTAGATGCAACTGTGGCAAAAAAATCTGTACGTTAATTTATTCGATAAACTCTATTTGAACTTGTGAAAAATCATGACATTAAAGAAGGAAATGTTCGACAGTAAAATATACATTGCAATTTATCTAATTTTAAAAAATAAGAATATGTAATGGAAGTATGTCCAATTCTACATCATTTTCGGATACCCACGGCCTAACTATTAACATTTAACAGCCGTGGGATATTTGGCCAATATCCAGTCGATAAGAGGAGTGTCAAATACTGATATTTCATAAGTTGCCACACTCATTGGTCGATATTTTACGCACCTTTTTGCTATTTATCTACGCAAATCGAATCATGTTACCCACGACATGATTATATAATAATCAACTGTTTGTATCAGCTTTCATAGTGCTTTAAATATTCATACGATTTATTTTTTTACAAAAACTAACTACTGACAGATTTTGTGTAAAACTATGTTATACGTATGAATTTTAAACAAGAAACTTGTTATTGTACTGGGAAAATACTCAAAGATGAAACCACTTGTGTGTTGTTTAGTTGTTACACTATTTATCCAAAATTGTAAGTATTCATATTAAAATATTTAATATATTAAATCATATGCTTTAAGAGGCAGCTATTTTTTTTATAAAAAAATAAAAATAATAAAAAAATAAACAACATAAAAAAACATAAAAAATGAGTTGTGTATTGTGATTGTGTTATTTGTTTGAACGATTTAAGTCATTCTGAATCTGAGTAAAGACTTTATATCCCATTTAGTAACATTGAAAAGGTATTATCCCATTTAGTAACATTGAAAAGGTATAAGTGCTTGTAATTATTTTTGTACACATTAACCTTAGTAATTAAAAGCTCCACACTTTTAATCAGTTAGTAAATACCGACTGTTTTACAAAATCATTTTTGCAGGCGAATGCCTTGTTGAGAGGCGTGAGTTTCGTATTTTAGATTACACACGTATAGAAACATAGAGATATTTTAATGCTGATCAGAAATTTCCCTCCACCCTAAGAAAATAAACAACAACCGCAACAGCAAAAACAACAACAACAATCTGTGAAGAAAGAGCTCTGAAAAATTTCTCACTAAATGGCTTGAAAGTAGAAGGCATGTTGCACACGCGAAATTAGTGAAAATGTATCGCAAAATTGTACGTGAGATTTTCGATTCAACAGTTCTTTGCTGTTCCAGTTTACTCCTGTTTATTTAATGTTGAAATGAAATCGAAAATAATCATATAAAAAGAAACGAATTGAAAGAAACAAAAATATTATTACCTTATTTTGGCAGATGCAGGAGCGTCAACTTTTAGATGTTACAGCTGTGAGTCATGCGGTGATCCTTTTGATAAGTCTAACATATTGAATGTGACTTGTTCTGGCTCTTGTGTTAAATCAAACAAAGATGGCTGTAAGTATGTTTATTGAATACTTAAATAATGATTTGTATAAAAATTTGTTAAAAATGAATAAATATATATGTTCGTGAAGTTGGCAGCCTAGCAGCCCAGCAGCCTAAAGCTGGCAGCTTAACAGCCTAGCAGGCTGGCAGCTTAACAGCCTGGCAGCCTAGCAGCCTAAAGAAAACTAAGAATAGTACAAACATGAAAACCGTCGGAAATACACTAGTAGCACTTCTTAAGATCATCCCACGCCTTTTTCAATATCGTGATCTTTATTTTTTAAGATGTTGAACTTTATCGTAACATATTTTTTTCATTCTGACGCTTTGAAATTTGTGAAGTTAGCAGCCTAGCAGGATAGTACAAACATGAAAATAGTCGGAAATGAATCGGTAGGAAATACTTAGAACATTCCACGTCTTATTTTAGTATCGCGTACTTTAGTTTTTTAAATAATTAACTTTTTCTTTATTTTTACACTTCGAAATTTGTGACGTTAGCAGCCTAACAGCCTATCAGCCTGGCAGCCTAGCAGCCTAGCAGCCTAAAGAAAACAAAGGATAATACAAACATGAAAACCGTCGGAAATGAGTAGGTACCACATATTTAGACTATTCCACGTCTCTTTTCAGTATCGCGAACTTTATTTTTTTAAATATTGAACTTTGTTGGGTTTTTTTTTTTTTTTTTTTTGTGACACTTCGAAATTTGTGAAGTAGCAGCCTAGCAGCTTAGCAGCCTAGCAGCCTCAAGAAACAAAGGATAATACAACATGAAAACCGTCGGAAATGAGTCGGGCTGCTAGGCTGCTAACTTCATAAATTTCGAAGTGTCACAAAAAAAAAAAAAAAAAAAAAAAAAACAACAAAGTTCAATATTTAAAACAATAAAGTTCGCGATACTGAAAAAAAGACCTGGAATAGTCTAAGTATGTGCTTCCGACTCATTTCCAACGGTTTTCATGTTTGTATTATCCTTAGTTTTCTTTAGGCTGCCAGGCTGCTAGGCTGCAAACTTCAGGCTGCTAGGCTGCCAACTTCACGAACATTAAAATATAGGTTATTTAACTAGTCAAAGTCCAAATAGCTCAGAATATGTAGACATAACATTCATGTATTTTGGGTATCATCATTGAGTACAATACATTACCAATTGAAATTTCAACTCAGTATATATCTTATCGCAAAGGTGTTTTACTTTCTGCATTATTTATGGTTTGTGTTTACATTTATTCATTTATGGTGTTCGCATTTAAACATAATCTACCAAAGGAAACTTAATGACCCAAGGAGATCTAAAATTTGTAAAGTTTATTGGAATATTCTTTTGTTGGCTCGACCTAATTAATTATTGTTAAAGACGGTTTTAGTGTCGAAAGTGAATTTCGTTGACATTAGGAAAAACACGAAAAATGTGCTTTCGGTTGTTACTTATACACAGATTTTCTTTAAGTGAATCTGATATTTTCATTTAATACTTTTTAGTGCTCTCAAAAGATCATATTTAGAAATTATTTCGAATGTTGTGAAATTAGCTGACATCGACACATTTCAATATTAATACATTTATATCTTCACAGGTATTTCAAGAGGCTGTTCAAATATTACTCTAGTATCAGATTGTACACATGATGAACAACTTGAAGTATGTGCATGTGACACGTATCTATGTAACAAGACGCAAGGAAAACACAAATATTTGGTTGGACTTTATATCGCCAGCATCATCTTTTTTCTTTTACACACTCTCGATAGATATCATAATTGACGCGTTTCATATTGAGGATCGTTTGCTGATAACAAGTCTTTAGATATACATTATGACGAAACGCTATTTTGAACATTCGCCATTACCTGTGAAAAGTACCAGTTTTAAAATGAGATTATTGTTCATGACTATCTTGGGATTAATATGGATGATTCCCCTGGTGCAGTATAGCTTGTTAGTATGTGTCTATGCTTAGCTTTGCTCCCTTTCTCTTTATTATACGTATTCTTTGTATTATAATTTATTTCAAATGGCAAAATGTCCATTTGTGTTATACGAGTTACAATGCTAAGGTTTGATACTTATATTTCTTAAAGGGTTTATAGCTATCTCTAATTAATATTACGACTTTTCCATAACTTTAAAGTCGATTATCGAAATTGTAAAAATGATAATTTGATAAAATAGAAAAGGATTTTGTGATTTTAACCGTCTAACAATGATTTTGTGCATGTGCCAAAATATTTCTTTCATATAGATAATTTTAATTTATTCTTTTTGTCAAAATTCAAAACAAACCTTTTTATACTGCAGGCAGCAGGGATAAAGTTTCATTTACACATGTAAATACATGCATAGAAAACACAGATAAGATGACAACATAAACAAAATATACCAACTCTTAAATGAATATATAATAAGTACAACGTTTTGTAAGAAGTTTCAATGATACACCTCTACACATTAATCATTTAATTTGTGACACTTTTGTTATGAGAAAATGTGAGATTGAATAATTATAGCTACTGTATGCATGCAGGAGTATTACGGCGAGAACAAAGACATTGATCATTTAGATTAAATAAACGTCCATATAAAATGCTAACACTAGGCGGGAGGTGGGTATTTTTAATGAAGAGCAAATAGAAATCAAAATTACGTCATATTGTATGTATATCTTTATACTTCACGTGACTTTGTCTGTTCAAATGCTTATGAAGGTGAATTTGGAAACATGTCTTTTATGATATACTTAGGTTTAAATAGAAAGTCACACGCAATATACGATATCATGCACCAGAATTCATAAGTTTGTATCGTGCACACGCTTATTTAAATTTGTCTTTTGAAGGATTAATCACTTTCAAATAAGTTGCTAGTAACATTCTAAGACAACATTTAAAAAACCCAGTTTTCGTTTCCGTATCTATTAATTATTAGCACTTGACAGGCTAACCATTTCGAAACCCTTAAAGAAAACAATAATATTAAATGTACAGCAAATTTGAGAAAAAGGTCTGAAATATGTACTATTATGTTGTAGTAATTGTTCTCGAGTGAAACTTGAAAAAGCAATAAAGACAATTTATACTTTGACAATTAAAAGATATCTAAGGGACATAATGCCTCAGAAAATATTGTTTCCATTTTTATAAAGGTAAAACATAAGTTTAATAAATGATTTTGAAACTTAAATAAGATGCTTATGACCTGGAGAATGGAGCGCTGAATGTCAGAGTATTTGTCATAGTAGCAAATTATAAACAAAGTGGTATTTTGACTTAAATACAAAATTCTCAATCACTTTAACGTACTAATTACCAAAAGACAACAGAGCCAAAACGATGGTTAAGGTTATTTGCCATTGAATTATTTTTCGAAACTTTAAATTCCTAAACAGACTATCAAAAATGTGTTTGAGAAAAAAAGTTAAAAACATTTCTGGTGCATGATGGACCTGTAAAGAATCAAAGGGCTGCAAGCTCTGTGGTATTTTCTGATCTTTGCAATCTAAATCATACTGACTATCTGTATGTATTTTCCTATATAAGTTTATTTTTATATACTATAATTCATCTTACGCAGCGACTGCGTTAAGATTTTTTTCTATAACAGTTTGAGATTGATACATATGGAATTTTGCATGTCTAGAGTTGCATCAAAAATCATTTTTATGACAGCCACACTTTATCCTTGCATATCGTGGCTACTTCCTTAAAAAAGACACTTAAAAAAAAGTTGCCTCGACTAGGATTTGAACCTTAGGCCTCTCACACACTAAACGAGCGCGATACAAGCGCAATACCCCTGCACCACGGTGAAGTAATACGTAATATGTAGCCTGAATAAAAACAAATACATTGTAATTCTAAATTGAGAATTTCCATTTCGTGTTTGTAATCCTTATCAATTTCGAGGTATTTTGTTCACGATAAACCTGTTTAACACTGATAAAAATAATTTAGCGAAAATCTTCTCGCCAAAACAGTCCAACATGTATATATTCCACTACTCGGCAGTCAGATTTATTTGTGTACTACGCCCTGGAGTATTCAGTAATCGGCATAGCTAAAAATAGCATTTTCATTGATTAAAATGATATTCATCCGCGAAATTTGTGATTGTAACCTCATATTTCTATTGACTAATCTGAACTTTCAATGAACTGTAATTCGTTAAATGCCTACATTAAAAATTATTCTGTCTTTTAAATTGCTGGTTATTAAGCAGTTTTGAGTGAGAACTACTTTGCGTTGTTAGGTCTGTTAGGAAATTTTGTGTTAGACCGTGGATGTTAGCTATGTATTTACTGATCTTGCGATCAGAAAATACAACAAAACTGTACAAATTCGTAATGATACTTTTAAATCATAGTAAGGGAAATTGGAATCTTAATAAATAGAATGCTGTCAAGAAGAATAAGTTGACCATTTGAAAAAAAATCTATACCTTATTTTTAATGTCTGATTTCAAAACAAGTGCTTAATTTAATATATATCCTGCAAGTTCATCAGCAGTCAATTAAGCTAGGAAGTTAAGTGTTTGGTTGATAAATTCACAGTTTCTTTGCTAATTCGATAATTTGATTGATAAGTAGAAAATGCTACTGAAGAAACACATTTTCTTTAGATTCGGTAAGTAGGTAATTCTTACACTTTTGAAATACGTCTGCCATTCTAAAATGATCAATAAAGAAAGCACGGCTTGTTTGTAGTTTACATGTAAACTACCCGTTGAAAACCTAAAATGATATTCTACACACGAGCACAAAATTCAAACAAGATTTATTACTCTTATCAATAAAAAGTTAATACAAGTATAGAATAGTCCAACTATAGGTATTTGTTTCTCAGAAGATCTGTTACAGTAGTCTGAATCGCACGCACACACTGTTAGACCGTCTTGACTTTCACATTTTGGTATCAGGCTGACCTTTGAACAAGTTCTTGAAACTACTGAAAATATGAATAAATACATAATTGAAATCAGTTTTCAGCAAGCAAGCACCCTAGCAACATGTATGTATATCAAAAAGTTACTACATAGTGTTTCGTAATAAACTTCCATTACTAACTAGTTTTTTAATCTTTTTCTTCGAGTTAAGTTTTTGAAATATTCATTCGAAAACATTTTTTTTATCTTATTTTGTTTGTATCTTGACTGAATAGAACTATGTCTGTAATTTCACTGAACATTGTTTTTGTATTTCTTTCGAAAGATCAGGTAATATTTATTTCAAAATAAAATTAATGTAAACTTACTGTTATCAATTTCAGATTTAACACAGGAGCCCGCACATGTATCTTGTTTTTCATTTCTCGGATCAGAGTTAGAGCATGGTTGACAATCGTAACATCTATATGATGATGATCCTGAAACTAGGAATTTTATATGAAATAGAAATAAAAAAAATCCTATTGTATTGTTATGAAAGAAATGTTCCTAACTCCCATAATTAAAATAACAACCGTCTAAAAATGCTCTTAAATGTAAAGACATGCAATAAAATTAAAGATCATTTAAGACATTTTTTATGGTTTTATATAAAAAATATGATGCTCAAATTAAGATTTATCAATATTGTAAGTTCCAAAATGCAATATTTATAAAGATATTATCAAATTTAATATTTCATGTAAATAAAGAGAGGTAATTAGAAATTTGTTTTCTATAAATTTCAAGTCAAATTTTCCAATAAGAAATGAATGCATATAATTTAATGATTACATATAATGTGTACAAATATTTGCAGTACATATTTTACATAGTCCTCGATGTTTAAAAATTTGTGTATTAGCATAATTATATACATATATAATTTCACGTAAGAGTGGTATACAACCTCAATTACAAAACATACAGAATACTTAATCTTAATTTGATTTAAACATTTTTACATACAAGACAAGATTTATAACTACAAAAACACCAAGATTAAAAATATTGGTATTCGATTAAATACAATACGGAAGAACAAGACGGGAATAAATAGCTTACGGAGGAACTCGGTATAGCCTAGTTTCCGCCGGAAACAATTTCTTTCGAGCTAGATATTACAGCCTGTTAATATGCAAAGACAGCAGAAGCTCAATCTCAATACAGAGAAGACGAGACATGGTAATATGAAAGAATCATGTGATTCTATTCTAATAATTATTATGTTTTGTTTAAGTTTAACCGACCAACACAGCACAGGTCATTTGGCGATTTTCCAGCTTTACATGGGGGAAGACCTCAGGTGCCCTTTGTGCATAACCTGTGAAGAAACATTAACGTTCTCTAGCTGGATGGATAGCTTTCTCACATGAAAAAAATCGAAGAGACTGGCGCGGCTTGACACCGAAGCGATGAGAGCCAAGTGGTTTTAAGTCAACAGTTCAGTTCAGTTTATTCAGCAAATCGGCATAATAACATGCCTTTGGCCTATTTAACATTTGCAAAGTGAAGAATATGGCCAAGACAACATAAACATATAAAACAGTACTTAATACAGTGCTAGTACATAATAAATATACATATAACCTACACAAATTGTCACAAATATACAGTATAGTGAAGTGTATTTATATAATGCTAATTAAGAAGCAGCTTCTACATCGACAAATCTTTTCCTTATTTGAAATGCTTTATACAAATATTTGGCAGTTTTATATAACTTATTCTTACTCTTACAGGACATAATGTTTGAAAATTTTTGCCTACTAGGCCATGAACAATTACCTAAATATTTTGTTCTTATTTCAGAATATATAGGGCACGTTAACAAAAAGTGATATTCCGATTCAACTAAATTTGTATTACAAGCTTTACAGATTCGTTCATTTCTATGCATACCTTGATATCTACCAACCTCAATTTCTAAACTATGAGAACTTAATTTAAAGCCTGTCATGCATTTTCTAAATTTATCTATATTAATACATTCCAAATATTTTTCAAAACCAAAACATTGTTTATACATTCTATAATATTCCAATTTGGACATGTCTTCTATACATTTATGCCATTTTTGTGCATATTGATCTCGTAACCTCTGCTTTAAAATAGGTGCAAAGTTGTTATTGACCCAGGAAGTTAAATAAATATAACTACATCCTAAATCATCTACTAATGTTTTAATCTTAGATGCCCATGAATTATTGTTATTTGTGTTACATTGTTCAATATATAATTTATACATTTGTGAATTTTGGTTATTCATTATTTTAGCCAGTATTGTAATGGTCTTTCTTTACTAATAACAGAGAGAGGGTACCTTCCTAGCTCGCCAAAAACCGCAGCATTTGGAGTTTGTTGTTTCACACCTAAAACAATTTTACAAAATTTGATATGAAGTTTATCTACCTCCTTAAAATCATAAATTCCCCATACATCAGAGCAATACAAAATTATTGGTACAACCATAGAATCAAAAAGAGCTAGTTTAATTTTAATATCTAAGTTCACTCTATAAAACAATTGTAATAGTGAATTATAAGCCTTGAGAGCTTGATCTGATAAATTTTTAACAGAATTTGTTTTTTCAAATTACCTGTATAAGTAAAAACACCAAGATAAGTAAAACAAGATATGTTTGTAAAACATGTATGCCCCCTATCAGCAGCCAATTAGTCATGTGATAAGGTTATTATGCATGACTTCTGACCCAGGTGATCAAACAATTAATAAGGGTTATCAAGTATCTACTGGTCATGACCTTGACCTTTGACCCCTTGACCCAAAACTCAATAGGGGTCATCTGCTGGTCAGGACCAATCATCATACAAAGTTTGAAGTTCCTAGGCCTAAGCGTTTTTTTAGTTAATTGATCAGAAACCGTTTTTACCTACAAGGTCAATGTGACCTTGACCTTTGACCCCTTGACCCCAAAAATCAATAGGTCATCTGCTGGTCATGACCAATCACCATACCAAGTTTGAAGTTCCCTAGGCCTTAGGGTTCTTTCATTATTGATCGGAAACCGTTTTAACATACAGGGTCAATGTGACCTTGACCTTTGACCCCAAAATCAATAGGGATCATCTGCTTGTCATGACCAATCACCATGCCAAGTTTGAAGTTCCTAGGCCGAAGCGTTCTTTAGTTTTTGATCAGAAACCGTTTTTACGTACAAGGTCAATGTGACCTTGACCTTTGACCCCTTGATCCCAAAATCAATAGGGGTAATCTGCTGGTCATGACAAATCACCATACCAAGTTTGAAGTTACTAGGCCTAAGCGTTCTTAAGTTATTGATCAGAAACCGTTTTTACTTACAAGGTCAATGTGACCTTGACCTTTGACCCCTTGACCAAAAACTCAAAAGGGTCATCTGCTGGTCACGACCAATCATCATACAAAGTTTGAAGTTCCTAGGCTTAAGCGTTTTTAGTTAATTGATCGGAAACCGTTTTTTACTTCCAAGGTCAATGTGACCTTGACCTTTGACCCCTTGACCCCAAAATCAATAGGTCATCTGCTGGTCATGACCAATCACCATACCAAGTTTGAAGTTCCTAGGCCTAAGGGTTCTTAAGTTATTGATCGGAAAGCATTTTACCTACAAGGTCAATGTGACCTTGCCCTTCCTTTGACCCCTTAACCCAAAATCAATAGGGGTTATCTGCTGGTCATGACCAATCACCATACCAAGTTTGAAGTTCCTAGGCCTAAGGGTTCTTTAGTTATTGATCGGAAACTGTTTTTACCTAAGAGGTCAATGTGACCTTGACCTTTGACCCCAAAAATCAATAGGGGTCATCTACTGATCATGACCAATCACCATATCAAGTTTGAAGTCCCTACGCCTAAGGGTTCTTTTGTTATTGATCGGAAACCGTTTTTACCCAAGAGGTCAATGTGACCTTGACCTTTGACCCCTTGACCCCAAAATCAATAGGGGTCATCTACTGATCATGACAAATCACCATGCCAAGTTTGAAGTTCCAAGGCCTTAAGGTTCTTTAGTTATTGATCGGAAACCGTTTTGCTTACAAGGTCAATGTGACCTTGACCTTTGACCCCTTGACCTCAAAATCAATAGGGGTCATCTTCTGTTCATGACCAATCACCATACCAAGTTTGAAGTTCCTAGGCCTTAAGGTTCTTAAGTTATTGATCGGAAACCGTTTTTGCTTACAAGGTAAATGTGACCTTGACCTTTGACCCCTTGACCCCAAAATCAATAGGGGTCATCTACTGATCATGACCAATCACCATACCAAGTTTGAAGTTCCTAGGCCTTAAGGTTCTTTAGTTATTGATCGGAAACCGTTTTTGCTTACAAGGTCAATGTGACCTTGACCTTTGACCCCTTAACCCCAAAATCAATAGGGGTCATCTACTGGTCATGACCAATCACCATACCAAGTTTGAAGTTCCTAGGCCTAAGGGTTCTTTAGTTATCACTCGGAAACCATTTGGTCTACGGACCGACGGACCGACGGACCGACGGACCGACAAGTGCAAAGCAATATACCCCCTTTTCTTCGAAATGGGGGCATAATTATCAACAACTTCTACAATTTCATCATTTATTGTCCAAACATAATTACACGGTTGTTTTCTTTTCTCAAAAATACAAATTTTTGTCTTTTTAACATTAATCTTAAGACCCCATTTAGTAGAATAATTATGAACCATGTTTAGTTGTGCTTGAAGACTATCAGGACTAGTGGTAAAAAGAGCTATATCATCAGCAAAAAGTAACATGTACATACTCAACATATCTAAATCCTTTTCAGTTAACAGGTTAAAATCAAGACTTTCATTTATATCATTTATGAACAAAATAAAAAGTAATGGGGAGAGTGGTTCCCCTTGCTTTAAGCCCACAGTGACGTCAAAAAATTCTGATAGTTTCATGTTTCGGGACCAATCTAACACATGATTTAACATTCGTATATATTGACCTAATAATATTAATCATTTAACAAACTTATACCCGTTTTTAAAAGTTTAAACCCATAATGCATCCCGAATCACAGTATCAAAAGCTTTTTCATAATCGATAAAAGCACAATATAATTTAGACTTATTAGATAAAATCTTTTGAATAATCGAATGTAAAATGAATATACAATCAGTTGTCGAATGCTTATCTCTAAAACCAAATTGTGATCCATTAAATACATCACATTGTTCACACCATTTATTCAACCTATTTCTTAACAGCAATGAAAAGATTTTACCAATTACGTTTACAAGTGTTATTCCCCTATAATTTGACGGATTACTAGTATCCCCCTTTTTATGTATTGGTATTATAATACCTTTACACCACGACTACGGGTATAAGCCGGAGTCAAATATAATTTTTTAAATATAGCACAATAAAGTTGTTAGAGTCAATGAAAAAATCCGCAACATTATTATTTATATCAAAACTTTTATACCTATTCGGTGAAGAAATAATTTTTGATATTTCTTCAGCTGTAAAAGGGCTGTCTAACAATTCAATATTTATTTCGTTACTTTGATCAGAATTTATATTTTCAGGCATAAACTCACAATGAGCTGTATTTGAAATATTTTTAAAATGTTCTAAAAAGTCCAAAGAACTCACATCATTAGAATTTACTTTATTATATTTATTGAACTTTTTTATATGTTTCCAAAACTTATGTGGACTGCTTTTACTCATATTACAGAGTTTAGACCTTTCTTTTAGATTAAAAGATCGCTTAGCATTCCTTTTCACTTTTGAATATTCTTTCCTACTGTTAAGAAAGTTAGTTTTATTGTTATCATCTTTATTTAAACCAAATGTTCTTTTCTTGTCAAGAAAAGATGATTTTGGCCGCCTGCAATCTTCATTAAACCAAGGAGCTTTTTTTATTATTCGTTTAGGTTTGTTAGCTGTAATAGTTCTACCATGTATCTTATATGAAATGTCATACACAGCTTGTGAAAATTGATTAACACAGGTTTCAATATCAATATCATCAGAACTTAATTTACTTCTTAAATCATCAAATACATATTTATGGTTATCCAACAACATTGATAACTCTTCTTTGTCTGTATTATCCCATATAATTTTATCATATGATAAGTTATCGTTTTTATAGAAAAAAATCATTTTCAACTTTTAGTGAAAACGTTATAGGACAATGATCTGAGAATTCAGTAAGACTATTGATTTCAATCTGAGTAATTAGTGGAAAATTACTAATATTTGTTATAATATAATCAACAACACTTGCAGCATTTTGATTTCTAATAGTATTGTAACAAGTGAAATCTCCATTCTCAAGTCGGCCGTTTACAATAATAACATCATTTTCCTTACATAAAGATAACAACTTTTTACCGAAAGGATTAACACGATTATCACGAGATTTACGTTCAGGTATGTCTAGACAAGAATAACTACTACACGGTAAGCCTGACAAAATCATCATGTTGACCTGTCCTTGCATTTAGGTCACCTGTAACGAACACGTCACCTAGAGAGCTATATTTACGTATATCAATATTTAATTGTTCGAAGAAATCGAATTCAAATAGACACGAAGAAACATTTTTGTAAACTGTCGACTCTTCAGGAGGAATGTAACACGTACAAAAATATAAATCATTTAAAGAGCCGAAACAATCAGCATTTAATTTAAACCAAATAATACCTTTATGATTTAATTTAACAAGTTCTAATTTGTTCACATATTCATGTTTATAATATACAATGATGCCACCACTAAAGCGTTTTGCTCTTTTGTTAGTTTTTGAACGAGGACATACAAAAGATTCATAACCTTCTAAATTAATATTATAGCAATTTTTGAGTTCCATGTTTCTGTCAAAAGAAGTAAGTCATAAGAGTTTACAAAGTTCAAAAAATCTCGGTCATCTAGCTTATTCTTTATCCCTTGAATATTCCATAATAGTACTTTAAGCTGCTTCTCGGTAGATTCCTAGTCGGTGGTAGCGAAAAAACGTCTTCCATCAATATAGAGCTTGTCATATACTAGAACCGCAGATTTACTTTGATTTTTTGCTTTTATAAGTTCTGGAATAAGTTTTTTTCTACGTTCTTGGATTTTTTTAGGATACTGATCAGATACCTTTATTCCTGTTGTTTCACTGCTTAAGAAAACTTTATGTTTCACATTCAATTTATCTGGAGTGTGATTGAAGTTTACCACTATCGGGCGGGTTTTGTTGCTCTCATATTTTCCGATACGACGCGCTCTGTTGATCTTAATTGATGTCGCAGCCCCTTCAATATTTGGTCATTCTCACAAAATTCGAGCACTTTTTTTGAACAATTCTCACATTTTCTCTCCTCAAATGTATCGCATTCCTTAAAGTTATAAAAAGTAGGTTATCCCTCATGGATCTCGTCTGTAAATCTAACAGCTCCTCCGAAATACGCTGATAATCCGTGGTGACATTTTGTAGCTTTTGGGAATCAGAGTTTATCTTTTTATCTATTGAAGCCTGTTTAGATTTAATTTCATCGCAAGTTTGGCTGTCAAAATGCCTGCTAGTTTCAATGCTTTGGACCTGTATATTCAAATCAAACGACTTCTGCTCAAGAGATGAGACACGCGTGTCCATTGAGTTCAGTTTATGTGACAGTGCAGATATTTGTGTTTCAATAGAGTCAAGCTTTTGTAACCTCTGGTCCATAGCTTCTAACTTTTCCCATATCATTTGACTATAGTTAGGTTGACATGGCGATAACTGTTGTATAGACTGAGACTGTTGATTGTTATATTGAGGGGGAGGTGTGGGAAAATAATTTCCAGCGTAGGGTGGAATCTGCGATAGAAAGCTTCCAGACATACCTGGGGATGGCACTGCCGATGATGTTTGATCAGTCATTGTAGAACGTTTACCTGGCTGGTCGATATCGTAATTTGGCGAAGATTCAGACTTGGTCCTCTTTTTCGTACCTTTTTTGGCGACCATTCAAACAAAGGAATTCAAAGGAACATCGAAAGAAAAATATTGCTTTCCTTAAAAATATCCCATCCAGTGTATATTCAGAATGGTATTAGTTTGTTTTTAGTTTCCCATCACAACGGACACATAATCCAATAATCTTATATTAAATATTATGGTATAACGAGTGTTTTTTTTCGAAAATTCGAGAGATTAAATCCGGAGCTTAAAAAACACGTCCGCCATAGTCAACGACGCTAAAAACTCGGCAACGGACGTCCCTTATTCATTGGTTTTGACACATACATTAAAACAAAACAGTTGATAACTTTTGATAAAATTTTAATTTTAACCATTTGCCTATTGATGAGCAATGATTATTATGAAAAGTTATATTCTAACACACAACTAAAACAATACAATACAGAAATTAGCCACCATACAAACTCAGATTTCACCTTGAAATTTAAGGAACTCCAGTGAGGTCAAAAAGACTTACAACATGTATTTCGTAGTCAGATTTAGTAGGGAATTTAAATTAGTAAGAAACACAAAAAGATAACCAAAACAATATCAAACTTTAATTGAATATCGTATCTTTCGCAGTTCTTAGTCTGATTTGAGTTACAATGACAATTGAAATAATTTTTCTAGAAAAACGGAGAGAAAGAAAAAAAAATCAACACCATCAATCAAAATTATTGCCACCTAAAGGCTGCTGGTTCAGTCTGGGAGAGAATACTGTAAATCAAATAACCGAACATTAATTATCTCAAAGAAAAACAATTATTAAAAGAATATAAGATAAAATACTCACAATTATGAAGAAATGTAAGTAAAGCCAACCAAAATATAATGGGTTTCATTTTAACATAAGTTTTCACAAACTCCTATAAGAAACATCTTAAATACATAGACTCACTGATAAGAATTCATGTCAAACTTTTATATAAATGAGCGGCTGACAGGAGAAAGGTGTAGCAACGAGATAGTTATGTAAACAAAAAATATATATTTGAATTAGAGGTATTTTTATCACAAGTTTTCTGATAAGAGTCTGGCACGCAAGTTTTTTTTTAAGATTGAAGAGCAAGGGAGGCAATAGTTGGTAGATCTTTCTAACGAAATGACTAGGTTATAGTTCTTTTTATCTTTTTTATCATACACAAACAATTTAAAAAAGAGGAAATCAATAGCTATAGAGAGTAAAGTAAACGCATATTTTATAACAGCATCCATGTAAATACTGTAAATTCTTTCGCAAATGTTTTGTCTTAATTCTGCTCGTGACATTGTATAGAAGTGAAAAATCAATAAAATATGATTAATCTAAACATATTTAACCGATTTTATATTGTCTAAAAAAAATCATAAGATGTAGTTGATATACCCTTTTAACTGATATCAATCCATAATTTTACTTATTACTCTCTTAACAAGGGGCATTTACTTTTAACTATTAAATGTACAATAATACTCGTGCTTATGCTTTGATATGTTATTTGACATGTTTCCCGCCTTATATTTTAGCTAGCGAGTGGGAAAAAATGCTGGAGTCTGAAAAATATGTAAGTACTTCGTAACACATGGTACAATTAACCTAGATCCTGTGAAACTGAAAGTACAAATATGTCAAGGACATCTTCTAGTCTTGTTATCGTATTAACATTTTTTTAGCTTTGTGGTATAAACAGTTACACTTTTTTTTTTTATTAGCAGCTATGTATATTGTAAAATATGCAAAATTAAAAAGTGCTATGTCAGCTGATCTAAAGCAAACATAAAGAATATTTTAAAGTATTATTTATTTTTAATGTTTGAAATTATTTTCTTATCTAAATATATGCAGTATTTCTAATGAATGGTAACACATAAACGTTGGTAAATCAGTCCAGTAAAAATCGACAGTTTTATAAAAAAAAATAATTGCACTCAATAAATTGGTTATTAGTGTTCAGTAGTAAGCATTTACTTCATTAAAGTGGTCGAACCATTCTTTACCATTTAATATTGTAAATGCTTTTTATAAACTCTAACTTGTACATAAAATTGTATTCTAAATCCCTTGATTGATATAAACAAGAAAAGTTTGAATGTTTTTAATTCAACGAATTGAAAATCATAATAAGATTAATTAATCTCGTTAATTGTACGAAACAAGATATCTTGCTACTGAGAACATAGACTCTTACATTTTTACAACAGTGACTGGACTTCATGCTACCTTTTGTATATAGATTTACCCTGTTATCAAGGTTACTACTTTCAGCACGTGTGCCCGTGCATGATGAAATGCAGAAAACTTAGGGGTGCATATTTGTTTATCTAAAATTTGCGTTTTTGCAACTTTTGACTTAATATATGGAACCCGCAAATGTGCCTGTTTTTTGTGTTATTTTTTTTCAAGCTTATCTCCCGGTACAAATAATAATAATAATAATAATAATAATAATAATATAATAATAATAATAATAATAATAATAATAATAATAATAATAATAATAATAATAATAATAATAATAATAATACTATTAATAATATAAAATGATATGATGTTGATAATAATAATAATAATAATAATAATAATAATAATAAATGAATAAAATAAATAGATAAATGAATAGAATTCTTCTTTACTGTTATAGATTAACGTTGCACTACTGGGCACAGCTACAAAGTCAACCTATTGCGCTTACTTTCGAAGCTGTTACTGTAATAGTTTGTACCCCCGGATAAGTTAGGGAAAAATATTTTTAATTCCGGAGCAAAGCTATTCAAAATCAATAGCATATTTTTCGCCGGGACTGCTGTAAAGCATTTTGAATTCAGAATAATGTTTGCAAATTTTGATATAATTGACCTTGAGAACTAATAAAAACATGTTCAATAGGCTTGTATACATATATTCACGGAATAAGGTCAATCACACAGTTAATCAATTTCAAGAAACCATTACAGTACAATATTTGATTAAAGAGTGATTTAAGGCAAATATTTTTTATTACATCGATTTACATTCAATATACTTCCTGCTTTACCTGATCATGACCCTGGTTTACCTCTACATAATAGTATGTAGATAACAAAATTAAACGCATTATAAACCAGCTAAATAGGTTATGTGCTTTTCTAAAAATGAATATATGTCTAAAGAAAATAATACAAGCGTAACGAAATATGATAGTAACAATTTTATGTATCATATTAATTTTTTGCGCGCGCTTATTCCGGAGTTAATAATCAAGGTAAGTGTGTCATGTTTTGTTTTGGTTTGTCATTGTTTATACTATTTCCATCACAAAGTAGACTGCATCATTATCATACTAAACTGAGCGCTTATTGCAAGTCAAGAAGTTTAAGTTTTTTCCTATTTTTATTGACATTTGAAAAAAAAAGCTTTCACATACTTTTTAATAATAAATGCTGGATTTTCGGAAAATGCATTTGTGACCTTGCTTTAATTAATTTCAATTTTTTTTATATCCAAATTTTACTTTGTGCGCATTTTAAACTCATTTTTGATATTATACTTATAGGTATAAATGGGAAATTTGAAATATTTTATTATCACGTGCGCATGCGCACGTGTCAGTATTTCATTTGCAAGTGCTAGCAGACTGCATGCGAACGTAGTAGATGGTATATGCACACGTTTTGATTGGTGAACGTGTTGTCAACTACATTAATTGTCATCACGTGTATACGTTATACCTTTACAGAAAGCATGTGTAATCTACTACGTGCCCATATAATACGTACACGTCCTGAATAATCCCAGTAAGGCTACGGTACATATTGCAATGCAAGAAAACTAACATAATGGGTCTGCGACCAGCATGGATCCAGACCAGCCTGCGCATCCGCGCAGTCTGACCAAGATCCATGCTGTTCGCTAATAGTTTCTCTACTTGTTATAGGGTTTGTAAGCGAACAACATGGATCCTGATCAGACTGCGCGGATGCGCAGGCTGGTCTGGATCCATGCTGGTCGCAAACGCATTATGTTGGTTTTGTCATGACGCGGCTCAAATTTCAATGCAAGAAAACTAACTAATCAATCTGATGATTGCTATTATATTAGAATTCTGTCATGCTAATGTGGGGGATATATAATCGTAAAATTTAATGAATATCATAACTGAGAGTAAACGGAAAGAATGTACGTCATTTATGCTAAATATGCCACTCGTTATCTTGCAAGCAAATTAAATGGTTACGCTTTTTAGTACTGAAAATTTGTCTTAAAATTAAATTAAGATACAGTTTTGCCCTGCAAATATTAAGACAACACGTAACATACATAATCGTATAAAAAACAACTGGACGGTAATCAATATTACAGGGCACAGCTGACAGCAATATAGATCTAAAGCTTATATATAAATTCTACATTTAGCTTGCTAACCTTGACGCAAGAAATAAACTATTTTAATCGACATTCGCAACAGCTTTTCATTTCAATCTCTTAATGCAAATGTTGTTATTTATACAGTTTGCTTTTTTTGGCGAAAAAATATGAATTTATGACAAATCTAAAATATTTATAAATGCATGTTACTGTTAAATGTGTTTGCCGGATAAATTGAATAGACTAAATTGAATATTATACCTAAATTGATGTCTATGTTGAAGCTTGGTAAATCGGAGGCTTCTATCAATCGATTATCATATTGAAGTATTTAATTTGAGCCGTGTCATGACAAAACCAACATAGTGTCATTGCGACCAGCATAGATCCGGACTAGCCTGCGCATCCGCACAGTCTGATCAGGATCCATGCTGTTCGCTTTCAAACCCTATTGCGAGTAGAGAAACTGATAGCGAACAACATGGATCCTGATCAGACTGTGCGGATGCGAAAGCTTGTCTGGATCCATGCTGGTCGCAAACACACTATGTTGGTTTTGTCATGACGCGGCTCATTAAATTATATCATTTTGTTGTATCATAGTTTGGAGACCTATCTGTTGAAAATGTGTCAGGGTTAAATCGTATACATATACATGCACAATGCGTTAACTGGAGTGCGGGTATTAGTTACCTGCACTCCAGAGCTAGCCCATTGATTGGCTCATTTTTGCTGGGGTTTACATACTGTGACGGCAGAAAAAAAGGAAAGCGATAGAAATGTCATATTCAGATGTTCGTTCATTGGTTCATTTTTGCCGGGGTTTCATATTGTGACAACAGGGAACGTGCTTTTATGTTTGACTATGATACAAAAGAGAAAGAACACCAAAACACTCGGCAATCTGATTAATACTCGGGGGCTACGCCCCCTCGTACAAATCAGATAGCCTCGTGTTTCGGTGCTCTTTCTATTGCTTAACCAATGAGATAAACTACAAAGGGTATTAAATCGTTTATTTCCGAAAATCAAACTAAATGCATTCATTTACACTGTTAGTACACAATTTGTAGAAATCATTCCGTTGGCTTGTGCGTGTGTTTTTTATGGCTCGAATTTATCTGATCTAATATTATATTATATTTTAATGAACACAAACTATAGTGTGCAGTTTGTATCAAGATTACACACGAATATTCGTGTCATTTAAATATATAATGCTGTGGACTAAAAACAATATGTATAATATCTCTTGTATGATATTTCATATTTATTTATATGAGTGTGTCCAAAATATTCAGTTACTATCTTTTTATCTATCATTAATATAACTGGGGAAACAGAAAAATATCCGCATACTTATTTACATAATTTTCCTAAAAATGTTCAATTTCTTTTTTCTTCACTCATATAAATTACTGCGGAAACAGAAAAATGTACCGGGCAATAGTAATTTATAGTTTCACTTTCAAAAAATCTAGGTCAAGCGATGCTAATTTTTTCTATACTTACATTCTTGCAGGGTTTACTTATCATACGTTGTAGTGAGCGGGAGAGAGAAGTTTGCCAGAATCTGTCTATTAGAAGGAAATTACAGTTGTTCGTTTTTTTAGTTTATGAAAGTTCTATATATCTTACAAAAAAATAAACACATTAAAATCTTATATGCTCCGTATAATTATTAGTGCTAGATTTGCACATCATCATCAACAACAACAACAACAACAAAAACAACACAGTGATTTAGACTTGCTATTAGAAAGTTTCAAAGGAGGACATGCTAAATTTTTTATACAAAAAGAGGGGGATTCGAACACAAAAAATTTTTTCCCGGAGTACCGAACAGAGGGGAGGGTGTCCATTTTTTCGGGTTTGGCGCCCGTCCTTCCGCCACCCGCCAAAAAATCCAAAAGCATCCCCTTTTTGCAAGGGGGCAGGATATCGGGATGCCGCCGTAGGCGAAAATTTCATGGGGTTTACAGGGGCAGAAAAAACGTGTTGTTAAAAGTCAAAATTGAAATTTTTAAAAATGGGGGGAAAATCTTTTTCCCAAAGGCACATTTCGGAAATTTTTAGTCAGGGGTCTTTTTGCAAATGCACACGAACGTGCACCGTTGCTAGGAGATGACTTGATACGAGAAGAATGTAGAAGACTCTTCAGGTCTGAGTGCGATGAAATTATAAAACTCAAGAAAAACTACAAGAATTTAAGAAAAATGTTCATAATTCTAGCGTTTCTATGCATCGTGTTGATCATTTGTGTCATTTCTGTTCTGCCAGTTATTTTGGTTTCGTTTAAAATGGGAAACAGTCCAGATACGAATGATAAATCCTCCGGTACATTATCGACCATGGCGATGGAAGAGGCCTTTAAAAACTTTATGTTCAGGGAACTTCGTTCACAAATAGCTAAAGGAATAATACGAAAACACATTTTCTGTGATAAGTGTCAGGCAAAAGGAAGAAATTCATACGATAGGAAAGGTTTTGGTGACCCAGACGAATTGGAATGTTGTCAGGAGAATGTATTTGATGACTTCACAACGTTCAAAGACACATTTACAGAGGTAGTTCATGTTAAGTTTATTAACATATTAATTATCTTTTCAGATTTCTAGATTTATGTACAGAATAATTTGATTTTATGACTGATATCTGTTCTAAATTAATTGCAATGCTTCAAATATGTTTTGAAAGTAAACAAAATGATTTCAATATTAATTATATTCTAAGTCTGTGTGAAACTAAACTATTTTTTATTTGTTTCACAGAAATTGCAATCATACTTCAAGGATATTCAAGACCTTGGCAACAGTAAGTCATAAGATTATCACGTTCGAAAAACTATACAACGATATTAAGTCGGAAAATCAAACAAAAAGACGTGTGCGATTTCTTTTATTTATATCATACATTTTCAAAGTATGAACTAGTAATAAATAGCGCATCCATATGGTGGCTGATTTGTGAATCGTCGTATTTTAGCTCAGCGGAGGGCAAGGCGAATAACACATGTCGTATTTTTGTGTTTTCCGCCTGTCGCCAAGCAGAGCGAAATACGACATGGCACAAATCAGCCACCATACATCCAGCAGCTAATGATCAATTATGCTTATTCTAGGGATTTTTAAGTTGGAAGATGAAGTTATTCGACTTCAACATAACGGCAATAAGTCAGAGGGAAACATTACTTCAACATCGCCGCCAGATATTTTTGGGAGAACAATTTTGCAAAACCGTGTTGCCCTGAATAACAACCTATTGAATCAATTGCTAAGCCAGAAACGTTCTTCTATGCAACTAAAAGGGACAGGTATTTTGTTTTTATACTACTACTTTAGGCATTTTATTTTCAATTAGAATAAAAGATATATGTGTTTTATTGATAAAATCTTAAATTAATGGTGATATGATAACTTTCAAGCTTTTTTGTACAAGAAGACCCCAGACGTGCCTCTGGACATTATTTCAGGCACAAACGAGAACCCTATTACAAAAAAACCCCGACTCAGGTTCCCGCTTAGGCCGGAAGGGGCACCTGTTCAGAAAACCTGGAGAGTCACAAAATGACTCAAACAATGTTGGTGTTACTAAAACTTCGTACAAAAAGTTAGCATAGAAAGAGCGTACCCTGTTGCAAAGCTAATTTATCTAGTATTAAAACATGGCAAAAATGATACTTTACGACATTTGATCAAATTAAAAGTCAATGCTACTGACATAACACTGAAAAATGCAAATAAAGTAATTAATGGATCCGTGAATTGACAGATTGAAAAGACATAATGGCATATACTATAGACTACATACACATCTTTTTTTTAATTCAATCAGAATTTAAATTTAGTAATCGTTATGACCTGCAGTTTATTTCTATATTATACATGTATATATATTAATCGGATTTGGAAAAATTCCACTGGATTTCGAAAAATTAAAACTGCCCGATTTTTTTTCCGAAAACTAACATGTTCGGCATTTAATCCCCCCCCCCCCCCCCCCCCCCAAAAAAAAAATGCAGCAATTTCATTTTATCGCTTTATGTAGATATATTTTAGGTAATATGCCCATCTTAATATTTCTCAAAATTGATCCTATGGTCAAGCTGGTGTTAAATAGCCAATAAAAACTGCTGAGACTTACATTGTTTATTATCTCTTAAATAAAAAATATAGGTTAATATTTTCATCTAGACCTATCGTTTCATAAAATGAGCCGCGTCATGACAAAACCAACGTAATAGGTTTGCGACCAGCATGGATCCAGACCAGCCTGCGCATCCGCGCAGTCTGATCAGGATTCATGCTGTTCGCTTACAAACCCTATAACAAGTAGAGAAACTGATAGCGAATAGCATGGATTCTGAATAAAATATTGTTCTTATCATTGTAGCAAAATCCAATGCTATTGAATGGCAAGAAGATATAACAAATGGTGACATCTTTTCCACAAACAACAACGGGTTGCACGTTCAAAGTGGAGGAACATATTATTTGTACACAAATATACAGTTCAAGAAAAATAATTGCACGGATGGCGAGTGAGTATCAATTAAAACTGAGCAGTGTACTTTGATGACTATAAATTAATTGTACATAGCTTATAATCATTACCAAAGGTATATTTATCTATAAACCCCAGTCAACTCGAAAATCGATAGAGGGGCAATAAACTTAATTTACTGTTGGTATTACTATAAAATAAATAAATAAATTAATTTATTAATGACTGGATTAATTAATTGATTAATTCAATCATTCATTAACCTTTTACAGCATGAGCATATTGTGAAAAAATGGCCGTTTTCATTGAAAAGCCACCTGTTTACCCATTACTTCATGAGCATTTTGTGAAAAATGGCTGTTTTCATTGAAAAGTCTCCCGTTACAAGTTCAAATTGCTATAAAACTATAAAAAAAAACTGCTTCAATACTAATCAAACTTGGCACAAATGTTGACTGCTCCATTGACTTTGTACCAACGTGCTCAGTCTTAAATTTGCTGTTACCATGGCATCGAGGGGACAACACAATTGCTAAAAAATCACTATTTTGCGTTATTTTTTTCAATCACAATTGATTTTTAAGTGCTGCAACTTCTCAGTTGATTGAGTTAGAGGCAAAGGCTTTTCAACGTTGGTTACACATTACCTTATGATTGATCTGGGGTCATTTTTAGCCTCTCACAAATCCAAAGTTTTCTTGGCTATAAGGGAGTTGCCGCCCCCTTCAAACCACCCAAACAGAAGGGGGCACATCCCCCTGATGTATCCTTTAGATAACGGGGCGCGCCGAAAAAGTGGTCGCATTTCTCAAAACAAAAACAAGTGCTGGTGGCCTAAATAAGGCATTTTTTCACCATTTGAGACAACAAAAAGGGTGGGGTGAAAAAGGCGATACAAGGCGTGTTATATCGTGTAATGGGTTAATAGTTGAAACTGCTATGAAACTATGAAGAATGCTTTAATACTTATGAAACTTGGCACAAATCTTGACTGGGCCAAGCCTCTATAACAGCATGCTCTATCGTAAATTTCCTGTTACCATGACAACGCCAAAAATCACTATTTTGCATTGTTTTTTTATCAAACTGATTTCAAAGTGCTGCAACTTTTCAATGGATTGAGATAGAGTAAAAGGCTTTTCAGCGTTGGTTACACGTTACCTTAAGATCGACCTGAGGCCATTTTTAGCCTGTCACATGTCCAAAATGTTCTTGGCCCCTTGATGTACCTTTTTGATAGGGGGTTGGGCTGAAAAAGTGCTCACTTAAAAAAAAAAAAATTCTCAAACGAAAAAGTGTTTGGGGCCTAAATAGGGCATTTTTTTCACTGTTTGAAGCCTCAAGGTGGGGTGGGGGGGGGGGGGTAAAGCCGCCAAAACACGTCTATATGAGGTGAAAGGTTAATGAAATGGTAATACTTTGAAATAACTTGATAATCTGTATATCTTGTAACTATTCTTACGTCGAGATATTTTTATTTTTCAGGGTTTTTGAATATAGGATATTTAAAAACAGAGACGGATACAAGAGAATCATAGCTCATGTCAAACAGACCTGCATTGGTTTCCCGAACTCCTTTGCGATATCCTTGAATTTTCAGAAGGTCGTAGATGTACGTCAAGGGGAATCATTTTCTATGACCGTATCATCACATTCTTTGTCCTTAGACCCATGGACTCATGTTTTTGGTCTTATTGAAATTTGAGTTGGGGGGGGGGGGGGGAGTGTTATTGCTCAACGGCCAAAATTCATAGTCATTCATTTATGAAGTCATTCATTTATATATTCTTCATTTATAAATGCATTCATCTTTATAAATATTCATAAACTGATTAATTATTTTGTAAAATAATATGCAAAATATGTAAAATATTGTTATAAAAATGGCAGACTATTTTAACTAGAAAAGTAAAAGATCTCATTTACTATATATATGTGTGTGTATCTTTTTGTTAATTATGTATTTATTCCTTGATGCAAGTTCATCAAAAAGAGTATTTTTATAATCTTTATAGAAGATGTTAAAGTTCGTGAATATCTCGTCTGTGGTCTAGATCTATATTTTTATAATTGAATTAAAGAAAATTCTTAATAAATGTTTAAAAATTGCAACATTGATTATGCAATTTGTGATGCAACATATTGCATTAAAAACTCTAAATAGATGTTTAAAAAATTGCAACATTGTATGGAATGGTCGATATTTTTTTCTAACATTTGTTCAGGGCGTATTTTTATTACATATTGCTCATTAAACTTTGTATATTTCTATGTTTTGTGCTTAAGGATATTTTCGTATTAACTAGTGTTGCTCAAAAAACGGACGTATAATATATATATGCTAAAGATTGATTAAAGGTTTAAATATCATTATGTAACAAGCAGATAAATGTTTCATAAGAAGGGCAGGGCAGTCAACAAGGAACATTTCGATGGACTTAAATGGCGTGGTGCTAAAAGCATAAAAAAATGCAAAGAGACACTACTGTACATAATTATGGGGCCCCGATATAGGTTGTTGAGGCAAGTTGATAACACAATTTGTTAATGGAATCTCTGCAAAAAATGTTTAATTTAAAGGTCCTTTATGCCCCAGATATGCCTTATTACTTTTCTCAAAATTTGTTATAGTTTGTACAATTGGTCACTCACCTGAATCGTATTTTCCTTCTGTTACTTTCTGTGAATTATTATAACAGTGATTTATTACTTTGTATGGAAGTCAAAGTACTACGTTGTTTCCATTTTGCTACTTTTATTTCACATTTGGTACAACATTTTTCAGGTTATAAGCCTCTAACATGCTCAAAAACCACAATGTAAATGTTATTTGCTCATGAGGAAGAGAATTTTAATAGTTTCAGAGGCAATCTGCGCCTTTAAATGCAAATGTGCAAATATGATAAACGAAAGTATTAAAGATAATAATATTATAACACTGCATTGTAACGAGCAGATGTGAATAGAAATATCTTGTTTTATTATAGGGCAGATAATAAAATGTATGTACATACACAATATATTATATAGTTTTGTTTGTATATGATATATGATATGATATGTAAATGGCATGTTCTACAAATTAAAATATTAAATTGTTACCGCTTATATACTGAGTGTTTGTTTCTTTGAAATTCGTTTGTCAAGGGTAGCCTAATTGGAATAACTTGAACACAATATAGAATTTCTTCACAGTTCGAAACATAAGTAAACACATATAAATCCCAAAATTAAAAAAAGTACAACTTTCCTCGGAAAAAAGCATATTTAAAGATTCAAGTAGGATTGAACAGTAAACACAATTGTTCATTTCATTTAACAATTTTTTTTTTGGAAATTTCAATTCGTGTACAAGATAAATAAAAGTATAGTAATATAGCTTTGATTTTTTTATAATTTAGGCAGATGTTTATATCATTGATAAGTATTTTCCGAAAATGAAAATTATGTCAGCGTGTACTTTCAAGTCCTATTTTTGTAACAAGCACACTTAATGCAAGAAACAAAATATCTTGTATTTCTCTAGTAAGACCTGAAATGGAACACAGGCAGTAAACAAAAAAGTTTTCTAAAATAAATATAGCTCTATCTTTTGAAATCCACAAAGACGTCTATTTGCCAGAAGTTGGAAAATGTTATCACGATTTTCATGTTATAATAAGAGTTCAGGCTTATGATAAATTTCCAAAAGTAAACGAAGATAACATTAAAATAAAACCTGCAACAAGAGACCGCTCCACTATGCCGACGGGTTTATCCTGTTATTTAACCCCTTTTAAAGACCGTATTTCAACGCTGATCTACTGTTACTCTTTTAAAAGACTTTAACTATATTGTACTATGCTGTACGCATAAAAATGTGAACAACTCATTCACATTAACTTCAAAACATTATTTCTGTTACAGTCAAATGTCAATCTGAATGGATATTATATAAATAACCATAATCATGTCACAGTGTGTAGTAAAATATACGCGCGTTCACGAATTTACTACGATTGGCGCCTATATTAAAACCATTGAAAATACCTGATGTAGGCCTGAATAACTTACACACCTGCCGTTTCCCGCTCATTATCATGCAAAGAAAATGTCTCCAGCTCAAAAACATGACTGACATCTTCACCCGTTACCATTTTCAAATATGTGTGAATGCTAAGTGTTATTTCTATTAAAATTTTCAAAATCAAGTTACTAAATTTTAGAAGTGACAAGCACTGATGTTCAGACAGGCCTATTCCATTTTTTCTATTATTTATAGTTTAATTCTTTATATTTTCATTTCTGTTTGTTTGTGCTTGCTTGTTTCTTTTAGGGATGGGGTTCCAAAGACTCGCCGCTACGTAGAAGTCATATGTTGTATTTGCACGTTCTGTAATCTATCTGAGAAGATTCGTCACGTGTGGTGAAGTATACGGGGGTTTAGAATATGGATATGAAGTATGCGAGGATTTCGTACAATGGTAACGTTTCGGCCCCTTCCGTCAGTCTTCGGATAAGGACCTCAAACACAAAAATAAGAATACACAGAACGGATGCGGTATTTCGGTCTAACCTACGCTAAGAAACTAAACATGTAAACAAATAGTAATTTATGCTGCGAGTAGTTGACAAGTATATTTCTAATACAAGGGGGTCATACAATGCGCGCGCATCCTCAAAATTCTGATACCGCGAACACTTTTTCCACCGGTATTTGAACTAAAAACGAGTCATGTAAAGCAATCAGAATATATTTGAATTTAATTTCTTTTGCAAAAAAGATGTCCTTACTTCTAGTTTTAATATTCCAAATGCCTGGACATAAGTCTTCCCTTTCTCGTCAGTATTTAGCGTTGAATGCGATTTTGATTCTGGATAGTGCGTACACCCGGCGTTGAAATGTTACAGAAATTGAGAAATTTTCGATTAAACTAAAAGTTTCACACAACTGGAAGTTAGTTTATTGTAAAATCTATTTCACAAATATATTTTCATTCTTTGGTATTTTTCCTTTGAACGAATAATGTCTTAAAACGAATTACTTACAGGAAAAAGACATTATGATACTGCATACTCTCTAAAAAAATCCAGATACTGCGTACACAAATATATGTTTTTGATTCTGCATTACGCACATGTATTTCAGAAGAAAATTTCCACGGTAAAATTATAAAATGTAAAAACATCAGTATATTGAGAAGTCCTGCACTCATTTTGCAAAGTGATAACGCATATTTGTTATATATATAGATGTCGCTGAAATTTATCATAAGGGCCAGAATACTTGCACGTTTGCGGGTCCGGTGTTTGTACACTCATCAGCGGGAATTTGACTTGACCAAAGTTGGAGGTTGGTAGAAGGACGCGACGACAAATCAGTTACATTTTTACTTGTGTAATGAAACGGATCTTACTCACAATGAGTCCACCAATCAGTCCATCTACCATCCTGGTTTTATTATGAGTGGCCTTGACATAATGTGTGCATAATTTGCTAAGAGCATTTGAACACTCAAGCAGAGCATCTTTTACCCTATATTTCAGAATGCTCTGCTAGATTGCTCTGCCAGCCGAGCATCCTAGCAGAGCATTTTTACACTAATTTCAGGAATGTTCCGCTAGATTGCATAGCCAGCTGAGCATTCCAGCAGAACATTTATTACACTATATTTCAAGTTGCCGTGCAAGATTGCTTTGCCGGCTCTGTATTTCTGCAGAGCATTAATGACTGTATATTTAAACATGCTCTGCTAGATTGCTATGCCAGCTGAGCATTCCAGCTGAGCATTTTTACATTTTTTTAAGGAATGCCCCACTAGATTGCACTGCAAGTTCGGCATTGCGGCAGAAAATTTATTACACTATATTTAAGAATGTCCCGCTAGATTGCTCTGCCAGCTCGGCATTTCAGCAGGTCAATTTTATACTATATTTAAAAATGCCCAACTAGCTTTCTTAGCCAGTTAAGCATTCAAGCAGAGTATTTTTACACTATATTTAGGAATGCACTAAAAGATTGTCAAGCCAGCTGAGCCTTCTAACAAAGCATTTGTTACAGCATATTTTGGAATGCCCCGCTAGACTTCTCTTCGAGCTAAGCATTCCAGCAGAATATGTTTACTATATACTTAGCTAAATTGCTTAGCCTGCTTAACATTCTGGCAGAACATTATTTTCCCTATACGAATTGGCATGCCATTTTGCTTAGCTCACTGTTCACTGGTTACTTCGCACATACATCTGTTGTGCGGACGACAATAAACACGGAGAGCGGACCGTGAACTATACATTATATTTGGAAAATTTCTCAAAACACGTTTAGCTGTAAGCAAGGCAAATACAAATTATTTCAAGACATTATTTTTATTAATATAGTATTTGAAAGCACAACATATAATTAGATTAAGACGAATCGTAGCCAATGTCTCTCTAAAGCCTTGCCATTTTCCTTTTCACAAATCTATTATACAGTTATAAAACGACTTTTCCGGACTAGTTCAGCTAGCGGTCGGCGACGTCTGCGAGGGATTCTCTGTTGACGTCGTTGTCACAGAAGAGGAAGGCTCAGCAGCTGTATTGTCACACATGTCTCGTTTGGGAGCGGCTGCTGTATGTGGGTGCTGCTGTTTCGGCCGTGCTTGATCGTGATCGGCTGGTTTTTGGTTGCGGTCCATTAGCAGGCTTTGTCCCCGCTGATCTGCTTGTCCAGCTGCTGGTCTGTTAACAAGCCTGCGTTCTGCGGCTTTAAAGTCCGTAAAAAGCTCACTGAAACAATATGCATATAAATATAACAGTGTTTATAATTTACTAGGATTTTGTAACTGGTTGCTTTTTGAAAAATATGCTTGTACTGCACGAAATATGATAAACAAGACCAACAAGGAAAGGTGGCGTTCAATGAACGCAACCCCCATATGACCCAGCAACAAGGCCCAGGCGGATACCAAACAAAAACAGGACAGGGCACATGACAGAGCACAGACAGGTCAATTACCAAAATGATAAATAATTTGTAACTGACAAGGAACCCAAAGAAAAGAAAAAAACAAAACAAACGAAACCATAATTAAATTTATTGTTTCTCAATGGTATAAAATCTAATCTTATTTTGTGTAAAAATGCCTTAAAATCGTCGTGTACTTAAATAATTATGACTTGTTTTGTTAATGATATATTGTAACGTTTATTTCGTTTTGCAAAAAAATTCTTTCAAAAGTAGAAAACAATCTTTTTACAGAAATTACACTAATAACATTGCCTTTTATAAATGTTTTCGATCTCACGAAGTTTACCGATCATTTATCGAAGATTAATATAGTATGTGCATTGACCGTGTAATCAGTATGCAATTGACAGGTTAATAAAATCAAATAATATTGTCACATTTTACAGTAGTTGTATGATAAGCAAACATTATTATTTTGAGACAAACCCACGAAACAGTAGGTGCTTCACGCTTCACTTTCACAGCCCGTTCGTCCGCACACATTTATTACATAAATATGCATAATTATTTCACAGTGGTGTAGAAGTAAATGTACGCGCATCCGCAAATTTACTACGATTCGCGCCTATTTATATTTTACCTTGTTAAAATACCTGATACAGAACTGAATAACTTACATGTTCACCTGCCATATTCTGCCCAAAACTACGGAAAGAAAATGTTTCGATCTTAATTTTCTTGTAGCGAAATTTATATAAATTAACGGTTTTATTGTGTGTGTCGGCAGTGTTGGAAGGGGGGGGGGCATGGGGGGGTGTCCCAAAAACTCAACGCTACTCACCTCAGTATAGATCATATAGCGACATTCTAACCTGACTGGTGGAGAGGACGAAATACTCAGGTGCCGCCAATCCTTGAATTATTTCAGGCACGAGCAGGCACCCGAGTAGAACCCCCACGTTCTGTAAGCTATTTGGATAGTTTCTTCCCATGAAAAAATCCAAAGTCTACATGCCCCTTCTGGCAACCCCCTGATGTATCTTTTGGATGGGGGGCGGCGCAGAAAAAGTGTTCACTTTTTTTAGCAACATTTCTTAAACGAAAACATGTGTTTGGGGCCCAAATAGGACATTTTTTCACTATTTGAGGCCTAAAAGAGGGGGGGGGGGTGGCTCGAAAGAGCGTTGTTTCGTGTATATATGAGGTAAAGGGTTAATAGACTTTCACTCACAGGCACTAGTATTTTCTTTTTGATTGTCATGCAGTGATTTGATTTTAAACTTCTTGACTCTCCTCAAAAGAAATACATTCTATTCTGGTATAGAGTAAACAACGCAAAGTGAAATAAATATTTGTATGACAATGTTAAATAAAGAATCGTGAACTTAAATCTATTCATAATTTTGGCAGCAAACTATTTTTATTGTTATATTATCATTAGTGTTTATATAAACAACATCTGTTATTTGTAGTAATTTATAGTGACATGGGGGAGCTGAATAGAAGTAACGTGATATACTAGTCGATATTCTAATTTCGTTTTAGTTTGATTTTTGTAAGTGGTATTCATATAATATTTTATGAAAAATGGGAACTTATTATTTTTTTTCTTTAATAATTTTACTAGTGACATTAAAATTAACCATTGTATCAAATTATAAAATTACTGGACATGTTGTTGATTCTTCTTATCACTTAGCTGAGTCATAAAAATAGATTAATTTTTGATTGTATACAGAGTTGTTTAAATGAATCGATACAATATTAAACTAGGTTATCAGAAGAAGATAGTGAATTAGCTGTTCGCAGATTTAGACATTTTATAAGTCCGTCATGAAGTACATCCTGGTGATGATTACGAAAATAAAATAGAAAAGATAAATAAAAACATTTACAATTCTATACTGTTTTGGTCAGATAACTTCTGTGTTACATAGAGATCGAAGAATTAAAAAATAAAATAGTAAACACAAACAAAACATGTGACGGGCGTATAGATAGCTAAGCAAATTAAATAATACTATGATATATTATGTTTAAATATAAAAAACAGCACATTGTTCTCGTTTTAACTTTGATAAAACGCATATACTTACCTACTATCATAATATTTAGGTCAAGGCAAGGTATACAGTATAATATTTAAAATGAATAGCTGATAGTATTGTTTTTACTATCAACATAGTATGGAGATGAGAAAGTGTGTTGAAATCAACTATATTGACTTAACTTCTATTCTTGACTGTTCACTTCTGTCGCAAGACATTATTATTGTTATTTTATTTTCATATTTCTTACTAATAAAACTATTGTATTATCATGATCATTATTATAAACAATAAACAATAAAATGCGCGGATACACATTTGTTTCAAACATGCTGCGTAATTCAAATTTATAAACAATGTATAAAAAACTTAAATAATTTTACAAAATACCTTAATATTTGCTTATCAAGTATAAACATTTGAAACCTTGCAGGTTCACGCCCGGTGGGTTCCTTGCCCCTTGACAGATGTGGAAATGAATAAACGAGTGCAGGAGTCCCGGCGATTTCTCCGACGCTTCAGATCGAACCCGGACTATGTGATCACGACTGATGAGACCTGGTTATACTTTAGAGATCCAGAAACCGAGGCACAGTCTGCTGTTTGGAGGCAAGCAGGGTCGCCACCTCCAGTGAAAGCCCGTGTAGGACGATCTGCCGGAAAACAGATGTACATGATGTTCGCCGACTGCAGGGGTATGCTTCTATGCCATGCAGTGCCAGTCGGGACTACCATCAATGCAGACTATTATTCGAAGGTAAAATATAATGTTTACTATATTTATACATTTATTAAACAATAATGACAATAATAGTTACATGTATCCGTATCCGTATTGTAACCGTTTTATTTATAAGATTTATTTTGAAATAATACTATCAATTAATTTAATCCTTTAAAACTATTTCTCCCATGATTTCATTAATTAAATCGAGCAACGATATAATTTTATTTAACGTGCCGATGCACAAAATAATACAGAACATGCATCTGAATAAAATACACAATTTAACAGGTGCTGAATCGAGATTTTATCCGGGCGCTGAGTACTGCATCACGATAATGCATCGTCGCATACGGCAGCCTCCACACAGCTCACAATAGGTGTCATAAGATTTGAACTCCTGCCTCATCACCCATATTCCCCGGACCTTGCTCCGTTTGATTTTTCAGTGTTCCCAGATTTGAAACGCCAGCTGAAGGGCCAGCGCTTTGAGAATTTGGAGGAGTTACAGTCAGCGACAAACACCCTAATACGTCAGTATCCAGCAGAGTATTACAGGAATATATTCTTCTCTCAGTGGCCTAAGAGGCATGAACGTTGCATTGCATGTTCTGGCTTGTACTTTGAAAAAGAGTGAATGTCATGTGCCAGTTGACGCTTTTCCTTCAATACTTACGACGCTGCGACGTCGCTGACGTCAAGAGTTTTTTCACGACGTGGGCCGGTACCGCGATAGTGACACATTTTCATGGTTTGTTATTCCGAATTATGTAAACATATTGTAAATCAAAATTGCATGTTGTTTGTTGATAAAACGTACTTTCATGTGATATAAGTTTTATGTACGTTTGTCAAACAATAAATGAGATATTGAGCCAGTCTACGTAATTCTTGATCACCCCTCGTATCATTAGCATTAGCAGTAGTCGTAGTAGTAGAAGCAGTAGTAGTAGCAATAGCAGTAGCAGTAGGTAAATTACAGTTAGCCGGGTCAACAACAAGAACAAAACTTTAGTTCCTCACTCGGGGATCTGTATTCGTATTCGGACTTTTCTTTGAATCCAAATTGCGATAAGGAATTCGGAGAAGATGTTGCTTTTTGAAGGATAGAAATAATAGATATAACATTTCGATACAATATTAATCTGGTTTTCTCTTTGTCTATCCGTCAACCCGCCTGTTTGTCTGTGTCTATTCGATTAGATTACTATTTGTCTCTCTGCTTGTCTACATGGTGGTATAAATCCGTCTCTCTCTGTCAGCCATTACGAAAAGTTATAACATTTTAGGTTGTTAATTCTGATATATTCTTAGTTTTATGACAACATATGTCTATTTTGGTTTTATTGTCTGTCCGTCTGCTAAGTCATGAATTAGATTTTTGTTACAAATCCTTTAAACGTACTGAAATAACGATCTTTAACGACCCGATAATTTCTGCTTTTTGATAACATGAGTTAAATCACAATCATAAGTTTTTTTTATCAAAACATTCTAACCTAAAACAATCATAGTATATGCTTTGTATGAAATAATTAAATAAGCTAGAAGTTGAAACCACGTCCGTGATCATACAGGGAACCATTTGACAATGGTTAAGCACCACGCGAGGAATTGCCTCCCTTTTTTGCATATATTTCTATCGTCAGTGACAAGTTCTGTTGTTATTTTTTTTATTATCATCATTTTGATCACGAGGGCTCTATTCGACGATATGCATGCTTATCGCCATATAGTGCTTCACAATACATTGTGTGCAATTCATCGAATAAAGCTCCTCTTTGGTACACTTCTCGAAAGGATCCTTTAGGGTGCGACAATGTCAGACATTTTTGTTACAACAAAGGTACATGTCTTGTTAACTTTACTCCTTTTATAGGGAGGAATACGCTCGTTAAATTGATTAAATTTTAAATACTTCTTTGTGTGAAATGTGTAAAAAATGTATTTTAGGCCTACGTTGGGAAACCGCGTTGATTACATTTACTTCTTTATATTAATGGCCGAATTAAATACCCCATCAAACGCATGCACGCACACACACACACGCACGCACGCACGCACGCACGCACACACACACACACACACACACACACACACACAGAAACCTTATGTTTGACCTACATCTGTAATACGTAGAATCGCTAATCGTACTAAAAATGGCATTATAAAAAGAATTAACATAATAACAAACATAAGTAATAACATCATACTTCATGTAATTGATTAATTTCCATGTCCTTTTGATTTATTATACATGCGCATAGAAGTAATTTGAGTAATAGGATCATAATTAACATAGTTGTTAATATCAGAAAACATGTTATCGTTAAAGCACAATAAATTGATAAAACAATGGTCTCATTGACCTCTCGTGCATGTATCATAGTTTGGGGACCTTTCTGTTGAAAATGTGTCGGGGTTAAATCGTATACATATACATGCACAGAGCGTAAACTGGAGTGCAGATATTAGTTACCCGCACTCCAGAGCATGCCCATTGATTGGTCTTTTTTTGCTGGGGTTAACTTATTATGACGGCAGAGAAAGGGAAAGCGATAAAAATATCATATTCAGATGGTCGTTCATTGGTTACTTTTTTCTGGGGTTTCATATTGTGACAACAGGGAACGTGTTTTTATGTTTGACTATGATACAAAAGAGAAAGAACGCTAAAACATTCGGCAATCTGATTAATACTCGGGGGCTATGCCCCATCGTACAAATAAGATAGCCTCGTGTTTCGATGCTCTTTCTATTACAAAATTACGAAATTTCACTTAGTGTTATTCAGTGTATTACTGAATTAAAAAATTATAAGTCACATTTTGGCAAATAATAATCTTTAGGATGACCGGGGTACGTACTCTCATTTAGCCTAGAATACATACATACAATTAATAAAACACGAAAATAAAGACGGGCAATGGACAGCAAAGGAACGCGTCTATAAATCACGTTGCCACAGACATCATGACATATTATTATTATCACCAAGTATTAACTGTTCATTCACTTCATCTTTTTTCGATCACTTTGACGCAATAGATTTACTGCTAACTGATTCTATGAATAGACTGTTCGAACAAAGGGTCTTTATCAATAATAAGAAGCATATATACAGAAGCACACATTTTCAAAGTTTCCACACGAAAACCTTGTACAAATGAGCGAACCTAAACAAACAAGTATAAACAATGTTATTGGATATTTAATTGCTAAATTACATTTGGTATCAAAGTATAAATATTAAAAACAACAGAATGAGGTGCAGATTAATAAACTTTAAAAGTCCAGAATTACTGAATATTCATTTACTTTCGGGGCTTTACATCATCAAATGAACTATCTATTTTTTTTGGTTATCTATAGTATAATATACAAAAATGTAATCTGTATGTTAGAAAACTTTGTTACGCCACACTTTAGGGTCAAACGAACTTGAGATTAAACTCGCGCACTTGGTTCCAAAGTTCTGAAAGTGTTAACTGTGTTCTGCTTAAATACCGAGTACTGACTTATTTACGATCGGCAACTTTGACATATTTAAGGTGAAATGCAAGATTGACGGTCGATATTTACTATAGAAACAAATAATATCTTTTAGTACCGTTTAAGTTCTGATATAGCAATTATCAAAAGAAATCGATCTATGCAAACAGTATTTCGAGATATGCATACCGAATTTCGAGCTCGACAAACAGGATGTTGAGCTGTCTATGCATTCCGTTTACATTCCAAATGTCGTGCTAAAGATATGGACGGTAACTTGCACTTTCCATTTTCGTCCATGAACAGGCTAAATCAAATCAAGCCTGCACAATTGTCAGTTTTGTGCGGCCCTTATGGATTTTTTTTATTTCTCTCTATTTTATGCATATCGAATGCCGAGATATAAATACAAAATAGCAAGATGTTCATTTCCGATGTCACACTGCATCTCGAATATCGAGCGATGGATACCGAATGCCAAGCAAACAGAATGTGCATTCTCTCCCTTCAGCAAGTACGAATTCGTAATTAACCACTACGTATGCTCTGTAACACCTCACTTTGAGGTCAAACACACTTTGGTACATATGCATTTTTTGACATCAGACAAACGACCGCACTTTGGGGTCAATCAATAAGAACGATCAAAAATCAAGTCTTGTAGTTGATGCCAATTGTGAACAGAATTAGGCGAAATGTATTAAGTTGGCTAACAATAGCAGATTATTGATTATTTTAATTTGTTATATCTAATGGTTGCAATTTATTATCATTATTATGTTTTATATTCAATTGTTTGTCTCATAGGATATTTGCCTTAAAGTAATAAGATATATTGATATGTATGATGTGTATTGTGTGTAATAATACATAAGATAACATATCCATGTACTATGTGTACTATTGTGTGCCGATAATTGTACAGATTGCATGTATCTAATTAAAATCCAGTTCCTTATACGATATGATATGTTCAGGACCCATAAAAAATCTGGATTTGCACTATTTTCATTTATATTGAACGGAGGTAACCTTTCTGAATTAATTATAGTTTTTTCTATGTTGAATGTTGTAGAAAAGACTTGCATTGAAAGGAATTCAGGTTGTGTCAATCTGCCACTCCTGGAAAAACGAAACATTTAAGAAGGTTTCCAAAATGGATGCCATATTATAAGAATTCACCATGCTGAGCAAGATCATAAGTATATAATTATTTAAATGAAGTGCGTGTCCACTTATTGCGGGAATTATTTTCAATCACGTATATTTCGTAATTTTCGGAAAAATCTCGTCTCATTTCAAAATGGCAGCGGTTTTGGTGGTTTCTCAAACAGAAACGTTTTTTTCCAAAAACTAGAGTATTCCCCAAAATAACATGTAAGATTATTTTAATTCACAGTGCTGTAAATTAACGTTTACATCAAATTTTAGTCCTTTCAGTTTATTTTTCAGTCTCAGGACGTCGTCCAAAATGGCCACAAATTAAAAGAAAGTCGTTGCGGAAAATAATATTGTATATTTAAGAAAAGTTTAAGTTTCCTTTAAGTAGCAGTTACTTTCATAAAATAACATGACTTGTACCTGACAAATGTCAAATTCATGAGGATTTACGAGAAGAAATCCAAAATTTTACTGTAAGGCATTAACTGATGTGAAAAAGGCTTGACGTAACCGTCACGTAACTTTGTTCAATTTTTGATAAATTTATTTCTAACTTACTTGTTACATGTCATTTAGATAAAAATTTAAATGCACTGAAGTGACGATATTTGCATTTTATTACACCCCTTCATATTTAACATGGGGTCCAATATGGCACCATAGGTTATCTAGTAAATGACTGAGAGAACAGGATATTTTTCGAATTTGAAGGAATACATTCGTAAGTACTATAGTACTTTGTTATAGCCGCAATTGTTAGATTTTCAAGTGGTAAAATTGATAAAACACTTACCACTTAAGAATCAACACACTCATATTTTAAAACTGCTACATCAGCATTTAAATGCACTTTGAAATGTTGATGTATATAAGTATCGACCGTCAGTTTGAAGTCAAATATTTCAGTGTCGCAGATCAAAAATAAGTCAGCACTCAGTATTAAAGCAGAACTAAGTTGACACCATCAGAACTCTGGAACCAAAAGGGCGTTGATATGTAGCATATCAACGCACTTTTCAACGTCAATTCCTTGATTTGGACCCCAAAGTCCATTTTACCCCAAACTGCGCTGTGAAGTTTACCGCACTTTGGTGTCGGACCCCAAAGTGCGTTTGACCCAAAGTGCAACGTTACAGTGCTCAAATGTCGGGCTTTAATATCTCCTTTTCACTAGCATTCATTTTTTATTAAATTCTATGACCCTAAATTCGGTTGTTTGACTGAAATCATATGTACCTTTGTAAGATATTTGAACCCCCAATTGCATGTTGGACCAGACTGAACCTCAAAGAACGTAACGAACTTCGAATGCGATTGGCCCCTTAATGCGGTGTTACAAAGCTTCACCGCATCTAAAACATTTTGGACAGTACAAACAAATAACGAGAACACGACTCGATTCGAAATAGTAAGCAATTGAGAATGATGCAAAGAAAAATCAAGTAAATCTGGCAACTAATCGACTTTTATTTTGGGATACAATTGAAACAAATAGTTTTTTAACCCGCAAGTCTCGGATCAGTCTAAAATAATTGCTACAAGGAGAAATATGATACAAGATATAAACGGCTCAAATATCCGTGTTTTAGAAGATCTGTTGCAGTAGTCGGAATCGCACGCACACACTGTTAGGTCGTCTTGTCGTTCACATTTTGGTATCAGACTAACACTTGAACAACCCATTGAAACTGCTGAAAATATAAATGATTCTGCAGATATTACATATAGTAATTGTCGAGATAAGCAGGAAACAGCATGGAATATACAACCAGAAATGGTCGCCCTTCCTTTTTGATTTTTGTTTTCATATCTTACTCTTTGACTCAATAATTTCAAAATGAAACAAAACTATCTATGCTAACGAATAAACTTAATATGAAGTTGAACCAATTCAAGAACGCGCTTCTTATTGTTGTTTTATAACTGTCGAAGATTCAACAAGTGTCCCTGATAATGATATAATAATAATAATAATAATAATAATAATAATAATAATAATATTATTATTATTATTATTATCTTTATTTAAAGAAGGTAACAAATGAATATATAACATCGTAGAAAACAAATAACATATCTTAACTTTATATGTGACCTTAAAGAGAGACACAGACATTTCATTTCTTAGTTTTGAATTTTTTCATTCCTAATTCTGTAAATTCCCTCGCAATGAATATATTAGACAGTCAAAGGAACAAAACTTTTCTCCATATAAAGAATAAAATTGTGGTTTCCTAACCTGACCCGCGTGGGTCAGGTTAGAGCGCTAGTATTTCACAATAATTGTCACAGTGAACGCTGGAAACGTTAAAGAACATGTCAAATGAATGAATTTGGCTTGTTTCAATTATACAATATCCTTAGTATATGTTAATGTAACTTCAAGGATTTGTTCAAGTCACCTGACTTGTTTTAAAACTATTCGGTGATTCTATTGGTGTCTAAATTTTGTTAAACATATATAGATATATTTATGTTTCAAATCCAAAATATAATAGAATTTAAAGAAAAATTCATGCTGAAACTTTTAAAAATGTCATTTAGCGCGAGTTGAGTACAAAAGATCATTTTGATATTTTTGTCATTATTTTGCCTCAATATCCCTTTAACAATATATAGAAACACAAACACAAAACATCATTAAACAATAACAACTATTCCGTTAAGATTTTATCCTATAACTTGACAGACGCTCCTTTTAGATATTAAATATCATTTATACAATTTCCTTTAACAAATATACATGCATGACAAGTATTATAACAAAATGACATAATGATAGAGTTATGAAGATATTTATTTGAAATGCAAGATATGTTTTAAACCTATTTTAAAAAAATGTCAGAGATTTAGAAAAACGTATATTAGATGAAAAAGAATAAGTACATGTATGAGTTGTGATAGTGTAAAACCTCTCTTAACAAGGACGGCTATTCCGTCTTGAGTTTATCAACTTTCGTGAAATATATGATAAATTCAATTATTTTATATAAAGAAAAATGAAAATGAGTGACTTACTTTCACCCTTTATAGATTTAACACACGAGCCTTCACAGAAGACGTCTGGGTTTGTTTGATGCACCGTTAAAGTTTGATTACATTGTATTGATGCTACCCCTAAAACAATAAGTATGATATGAAATTACAATTCAATATATTTTTAAGCTGACATTTTGAAAAAAAAGAGTCTGATAATCATGTCCTATATAAAGCATTAAACATACTAGAAGATAATAATGTAATTCATTTAGAAAATATTTTCATAATGATGGTAAAACAATAAATGTTTGTGACAGAACGATTCTAAATCAAATACAAAAAAAAACTTATTATAATAAAATTATATTTTGACTTTTACTTAGAAAAGCAACTTTAATAAAATAAAAGAGGTTTGTAAATCTCCATGTTCTGTTTTATTAACAACTGTATGATTATGACTCACAAGTGGATAAAATAGTGAGACTGCATTTAGTTACTAATATCAGCATAAAAAAATGTGAAACACCATTCAATAACGTTTTGGTTCAGCGAGACAATATACGAACACCATGTAAAATATAAAAAATAAACAATTAGAATCTTATCTTGAAGTCACTTAAATTAAGAAAGAATGTTAAAACATCATCGAGGCAAAATAACCAAGAATTAAATATCATATGAAATAAGTTCCGTTTAAGTACTTACCATTAAAAACACATGAAATAAAAGCCAAACCAAACAATAAATGTAAATATTTCATTTTAGCAGACTTCCTGAATTAAATGACAAAAGAATCTAAAATAACCAAGTTTTTAAAAAGAATCACTTGAAAGATAAAGAATGTATTTTTATATAAATGTAATGATATTGGAAAACTGTACACACAACAACTGGATAGGGAAAAAGTATTTGGACTTCAAGCATTTCGATTAGATCAAATTTATTAATTTTCATTGAGTTTGCTGATAAGAGCCCATGAAAAGTGTGTTGTGTATAAAAAGAATTAAGTATTGGAAATCTAAACTCTAAAATGACAAAATATTACTGATAACAAAGGAGAGCAAGGGAAGTTAATATGTATAAAGTATAAATTGTTGTATCTGCAATAAAATCATTATGTTGTGACTCTTGGTGGTAGTGTTAGGTTATCCTGCGGATCACGGCTGTAAGCCACTCAGACTCCATCAGAGCACAGTTCAGCCGCAGCATCGATCCTGGACAGGCTGTCAAGCAGTTTACTCGTACAAGTGCCTATACTATGCAATGAACTGATAACTACTAGCGCGAGAGATACAGGGCGAATGACCGTAGAGAAGGATTTAAGATATGACGAGGCTCGCCCGATTCACAGTACAACGAGCTGTTAGATATGAATAAAAATTAAATGCCATTGTCTGCTTGAGTACTAGTATATTAATCCGGCAATGTTGCACCCCGGCTTAACTATCTTTTGAGTAAACCACGATGACAGTATAATCATTATTGATTCAAAAGTACCAGAAACACACAATATAACGCTTAAAAATTATTTGAACGTGCCTCTATGCCATTGTGTTTACCACAACTCAGTATACTGTTTTCGACTGTTCAAGATAATTTCATTACTCGATAATAACTTTGATTTACCGTTGTTAAATCTTAAACAAATGAAAACGGTAGGAGTATCAGTCAAAATGACTTATCTTAAATATAATTAAATCATTTTTTAAGTGACATTATGTCCATCCAAGGGCATATAGTGCATGAACACGTGAAAGTCAAAATGAGTTTAAATTTTGCCTTAATTCCTTCAATTGTATTATTTACTTCGCTCGACGAGAAATTACATAAGGACCAAGGGAATTTCTGTAAATATCCATCGGAATTTATCTGTAACTTTTAATTTATAAAAAGAGTGTAGCCTTGCCTTGTATAAACATGTATATATAATATAAGGCATACCTAAACATTTGCCATATTAACTATTAGTGAATCATCATTTCATTTATCAATCTTTGGAAATACAAGTCAATTTAAACTTGAAACCAAATGTCGCTTTACGGTTATATAAGGTAGCAATGACAAAACAAGCAAAAATGAAAAGCGGCATGTTAGCAACGTGCAAGCGTTTATCGATTTGAAAACTGGATTTGTCACGTTGATGAAATATCATGTTTTAATTATCTAAATCATTATTGTCTATAGTTGATTACAGTCTCAATCTCAGCGCCAAAACTCCTCCATGACAAGCAATCGCGACACTGCATCACCAATGACGTTAAGCTCCCTTCGCAGCTCACGTTAGACAGTGAGCGATAGTGAAACATTCGGCCGATGCGCACGAGAGTACTATTAAATCAACGAACCGTTTGCATACTGTATTTAGCGCAATGATTGTATTGCTATATTGTGTCATATAACACTTAACCTGTAAATCTACTTTCAATTAAATAAATAGTAGCACACAATAAGATTTGCTGGAACATGACCATCTAAGTTATAATTGGTGTTGTACTTCTAAGCCTTTATATTCTGCAGACCATTTTCAACATAGTTATTTGTGCAAACTTATGTTTAATACATTTTTTAAATAAATCAAACGCGCCTTAATTTGAATAGAACAAAACATGAAATACATTATTATGATAGGGTATTGAATATTCGTTTGATATCAAATATGTTGATTTTACATATTAATGTATATCATAAAAAAGGATAAACTAAACTATTTAATACAATACAAATTGAAATTCTATAAAGCAATTTCAAATCGTATTTAAAGGACTAAATAGAGTAAATTCAGTGAAAGATAGTGGTTTTTAAGTGTACAAGAATGCACTAAGCAAACTTGTTATATAATAACAAAGTATCGTATTTTGTTACTCTTTTTACTATTAGAGTGTAAAGTCATTAATCATTTGTTTTGCTTAGTCACTTTTAACAGTGAAAAAAGTTGCACCTTTGCAAAAAGTTCATTGCACGCCTGCATTAGAGCGAATCTTGTTATTCTATAAATGTAAAAAGATCTTTCACGTTAGTATTTGTTGCACTTCACTCCGCCTCCACTACTTGTAACCGCCCTCTTTTACATTTGTATCTTTCATTGGGTGAGAAAGGAGCAACTTTAACATTAATATTTTAGGTTAGTTGATTGAAAAGTTGTTATAATAGTTAATCGACATTAATTTAGACACATTATGCCTCAGAAATAAATAATTTTTTCCATCTTCAGTAAGGGCAAGGATGTGTTTTAAAATGTATAAATCATAATGATTTTAGGGAATTTTTTATACTTATCACCTGAAGAATGTGAAATAAATTGTCATAAAAGTACCAAAATGTAAACAAAGTAGTATTTTGGCTTCCATACAAAATATTTAAATCACTACAATAATTTGACAATAATTTACAACAGCAACAGATGCAAAAGATGTTTCAGGTATGGGGGAAATTTTGGAAACTATAACGGGTCACCAAAAATAAAAAGCTTTTGAGAATAAGAGTGTAAAACATTTCTTGGGCGTAATGGGCATTTTTTTAATGATTCTTCTATTTTCAGTCGTTTATGATAATGAATAATGATTTTTTGCTTCTTTCTGATACAAACGATATATCCCGTATTTAAGTCAGTTGTCGTATATATGATTATAATTTTTTTCTCGCCACGCACTTTTTTTTTGGGGGGGGGCTTCGTCGCACTAACACATTAATGGTCATGCGGCGACACATATCAGTTTACAAAGTGTTATAATGTATGTATGGTAAGTTTACATTAACATCTCCTTATGCGTAGTTATAGTACTACATGCTTCTTTTAAGTTATAGTAAACAGAGCGAGTATGAAATAGCATAGCCTAAAATATGAAAACTGACAGGTGGTGGTAAAACTAACTTAACTGCAATCAGGTCAAGGCTGTTACATACATAGTATTTTTTATATTTTTTTTAGTTTGCATTTTTCTTTTGCTTTTGATTTATAACGAGTTTACCTTTAAAGTGTCATTAAGCACATTTTATTTCAATGTCAAGCTGAGATAAAATAATTTGATATTTCAAAAGAATATTTAAATGGCTCCTGAACAAAAAATGATAATGGATAAAATATACATACTGCGACACTCTTTAAAAATATTGAACGTTCCGATATTTTCCGAAGGCCATTTACAGACATGTATGAGTGTGACAAAGGTTATTGATTACTCAGGTGAATTTTATTATAGAAATTGAAAATAAATATGACAAAAAGTAATTTCAAAAAAGTTATTTTAATTGAAAAACAACTGGACATATATTTTTCTGGTCCTACGGCATCAGTGATTCCAGCACTTGTTGAAAACTGAGTACCGCTGAAGCCGATGCCAGGGGCGTGAGGAATGTTGCTCTTTTTCATTATCCCTCATGTACAGATTCAATCAAACCTAGCCTGCAATTTTCATGTTATTTTGTTGTGATTAATGCCCACGAGGGATCACATCTTTTCCAGATTTTTTTTTACCATTTACTCTTGGATGGGCATAATATCACTTTTAAACTTATAAAGTGGAAAATATACTCATATATTAAACCAAATTTTGATAAATGCAATTGTATATAATTATATTTAACTTTGAAGTATAATTAAATGATTTTGAGTAATGATACAACAATATTAATATTTACTTTACAATTAAGAAATTAAGATTTTTTTAGTTAGGTTCTACATCTAGTAATTAGTGCTCGCCAATTTTTTTAAGCCAATCACCGACGAGTATTTTTCAAATTTCCAGGTTTCAAATCTTAATAGAACAGATTTTATATAAACTGAACGTTTTATATTATAAAACGCAAGTGGGCGGAGCACTAAGCCGGTTAGAGTGCATATATTGGATGTTCTTCGTAAATAAGAAAGCTACAGTCGCTTCGCAAGCTCCGCTCCTTTTTAGCTTTCTTATTTACGAAGAACACCCAATATGCACTCTAACCTATACTTGACACTCAAACTATAAAAGAACTACTAAGTAACAGTCGTTCAAACGCTACTGAATACACTAGATCTCATTTAGATACCATTCGTCAAAGTCGCTTTCACATGCCGTGGTAGATAACAAATGTATTTAATTTTATTTTAAGAAAATCGAAATATCCTAGTTAATGTCGTACGTAAATGGCCTAATTAATTTTATATTATCGCAAATATACTGATACTTTCATGGAAGATAATATACACTTTCCCGGAATAGCTTAATAGATTATATAAGTATATTTCAGAGTAAGCACGTTTACGTTCAGGTAATCCGTATAATATACTTCTTCTTCCTCTTTAGGCATGAATTACCTAACTTGCGATATATACTACTATTTGTCAGACAAGCGACACGAACGGAATCATAGTATGTTTATCAAGGTATTATATATTCTTTGTACGGAGTCACTAAGAAAGGTATTATTATTTTGATTTGTTATACTTTCATCGTTAAAAAAGGTTTACTAAACCGAATACATCATATAGTAAATAATTGATAAAACAATTAATAGAAAAAGCATACTAAAAATATCCCCTTACATTTGCTTTTATTTCTAAATGAAACATTCTAACACAAGATATTTTGAACACGACGCGTTTGTGTTAATGTCTTAATGAGTACATCTTATTTGAAAACGTTTTGATTATTTATTTATTTATTTATTCATTATTTATTTATTTATTTGTTTGTTTATTTATCATTTATTAAAAATAAAAAAATATTAAAATCATCTGTTTAAATACAATGTACCGCCCCTTCACGTAATGTTTATACCGGTTAGCTCAAAAGGTAAAGCACTGGACTGTGAATTCGGGCGACACGGGTTCGATTCCCGAACTGTACAGGTCACTTCCGTTGTGATTTATCATAAAATATTTTCTACGGCATTCCGAACTGTACCACTGCTCTGGCATGTACAGAAGTTTCAATGGAGAAAACTAGCACAGGTTAACTGCTTGATAGTCTGCCGAGGAACGATGCGGTTGCTGAACTGTGCTCTTGTAAATTCAATGTGGCTTACGGCCGTGATCCGGAGTGAAAACTACCAACCCCACCATCATTTAATGTTAACTCAGCATCGATCAAAAATTGATAACCATTAATGTGATTGTACTCAACGTTCTCTTCAATTTAAGTGAGAGAAAAATACTTGAATTTCCGAACGCGAAGAATAATTATTTCGTCTCGTCCTTACACGTTGTAATGTACAACCTTGAAAAGATTTCATTTCAGTCATAAATGCTTTTTTGTGCGATTCAATACACCTTTCTATTGGACCGTACTCAGTTTAATAATATGATCGTCACATCAAATAGGTTAAAAGGAAGGAATCAAATTACATTCTTATTCCAGTGATTTCAACAAAACAACCATTGGACATATTAAGTAATGACACATAAAAATGTTAACAAATCAAGTCAAATCAACAAATAGTTCCGCCAAATACTTTGATAATCATTGGAATTTTAAGAATTGTATTTTAAAGTATAATAAAATTGCTAGTCAGTTTAATGCCAATGATTGGTGACTGAAGTTAAACATATAATTAAAAATATATTTCTTATAACTAGGAAGTTTTGTGTTTGATGAATAACTGTTTACTCAAATAAAGATTTAAGTTTAAGGAGGAAGTTAAAATTTAATTAAATGTCTGTTGTAACTACATTTAAAATATACTGGGTGAAATATACAATATATGTATGATATCATAATTGTTCGAAAGCGGACGTACGTAGATAAAACTACAATATTTTTTAAATTGCTCTCTTATACCGTCACATGTATAACCGAAGAAACAAAAAAATATATATAACAGATTTTTGCTGTTCGTATCTATGTTACTCCGTTTTTTAATAAAAAGATTTTACCTTCACATACATTTTTTTGCAGGATTATTAAATTTCGATGAGAGAAACGAGTATTCTCGTGTCTGTTTATTTTAAACAAAATATGTACACGCAGGATACACAAGACAACTAATTTCTCTTGATCACACGATGCACAAGCGAGAGTTCAAATGCAACTTATTCTTCTTGAAGATATGCATTTACACGAACGATACACAAGGACAGTTCGAATACAACTAATTCTAATTACTCTTGAAGATGCGCATTAAAACGCACAATATACAAACGAGAGTTCGAACACAACTAATTCCCCTAGAAGATATGCATTTAAACGCACAACATACAAGCGAGAGTTCGAACACAACTAATTCCCCTTGAAGATATGCATTTAAACGCACAACATACAAGCGAGAGTTCTAACACAACTAATTCCTCTTGAAGATATGCATTCACACGCGCGATACACAAGCGAGAGTTCGAACACAACTAACGTCTCTGAATATTCCGAGGAAACAGATGTGTCAGACGAAGACATTACTTCCGGGTACAATCCAAAAACACACTCGAGACAAGGTACTAAAAATGCGGATGAGGAGTTTTCTACACCCGCCACAGGCTTTTACACCCAGTGCCATAGGGAGAAACCACACTTTGCACCTGTACAGTCTCAATTGACAAGCAACCGAATACCATTCAAAAGACAACAGCCAGATACATTAATGAAAAACGAGGGCAATACACAAGAAGCAATCCCGTTGCTTAGAGATGACTGGGTAAGAGAAGAATGTAAGAGATTCTTCAAATCGGAGTATTCTAAAATTTCAAAACTCAAGAAAAGCTATAAGAGTTTAAGAAAAATGTTCTTAATCCTAGCGATTCTATGCATCGTGTTGATAATTTGTACGATTTCTGTTCTGGCAGTTATTTTGGTTTCATTTCGAATGGAAACCCGTCCAAATGGCAATGACAAATCTGAAAGTCATGGAATATTTAAAACAATGGAAGTGGCTTTTAAAGAAATTTTATTCGAAAAACTTCGTTCACAAAGAGCTAAAGAAATAATACGAAGGCAAATTTTCTGTGATAAATGCCAAGAAAAAGGAAGACATTCATATCAAAGTAAAGACTTTGGAGACCCAGGTGAACTGGAATGTTGTCAGGAGAATGCATTTAATGACTTTACAACGTTCAAAGACACATTTACTGAGGTATATATTGTTCAAATTATATAATTATGTGATTTGCTTTAAATAATAAAGGAATTAATATGTTTTTAAATGTTTTCATTGTATTGCTGTGGTATGATTTCCATAATTATGAACAGTGCTAGTAATTGTCTTTATTTGTTTCCGCAGAAATTAGAAAAACACTCTTCGAGTTTACAAGAGCATCACAACAGTAAGTTACATCTTGTAATGTTAATTTCTTTTGTTAAAAAGGGAATGGCAATTAAGAATTTAAAAACCTCAACTGTCCAACGCATTGAGTGGTCATGCCGACCCGTTCTCTATTCTATACCTCTCTCTCTCTCTTCCTCTTTCCTCCCCCTCTCTCTATCTCAAAAGAAAAAGAAGAAAAATAAAAATAAATTGAAAAATGCCTGTAAATATATGTGATATATGGTTCTAATTTAATTACTTAATTCCCTTCATTTATGAAACATACTTAGTAAATTTATGAAACTTGTTGAAGATTTTCCAGCATTCATCTAACTTACGAACTCCATAAACGGTAGGTCAAGCAAAAAAGACAGCAACTTTGAAATATCCCCCTATTAATTTCAGGTAAATTATAATTTACAATAAATTTTCAAACAAACCATCGTATTAAACTATAATGAATCAGTCTTTATAAAATGAATTACCAATGGTTCAGCTGACTTACCATTGGCGCTATTAATTGTCTTTGTTTCTAGGGATTATCAAGTTAGAAGACGAAGTAATTATCCTTCAGCATAACAGGGAAAATAAAGACGTGCATAGACATTCTGCATCATCGCAAAGTATATTTGAAAGAACCGTTTTGCAAAGTCGAGTGGCAGTCAATAACAAACTATTGAATAAATTACTAAACTGGAAACGTTCTTCTATGCAACTCAAAGGAAACGGTAATTAAATGTTCAAAGTTATTATTCATGATCAGTTAAAATAATTATGCTCTTGGCAATTTAGATTGAGAAATGGGTAACTATCGAAACCGGAGTTACACTTTCCATGTTCTACACAGAATTTAAAAATACATTCATTTTTAATGGAATAGAGACTATATACACATTTTGATATTCACCCTTAGGATAAAATGCCTGCTTTTTTAATTAATAAAAAGCATGCATTTTATCCTAAGGGTGAATATCAAAATGTGTATATAGTCTCTATTCCGTTATAAATGAATGTATTTTTAAATTCTGTGTAGAACATGGAAAGTGTAACTCAGGTCTTTTAATATATGTCTGTGATATGCAGGCAGCATGACATTGGATGCATTTTCAATATTCGATTCAATTTTGTTCCGCCGATTGTGTTCTTGTTTACGACACACGAATTCATTTAATTGGAGACCGTTCACTCCTTTTCATGTCAGCCTCATTTGTCACCTTCATATAATACGATCAACAAATGTTTCCTTCTTCAAAGTTTCAACACAGTCATACTGCTTAGACCGGTGCAAGTGCACATACCACTATCTTTGAGTGGGCTTTATCAAAAACTATCTTGCATCATTTAAGGTTTGCTTGAACCAAAGATAAAGGACTTGGGCGGTAACTTTACAGCGAGGTACATAAACATGCTCAATCAAACCGAGTCTGCAACATTTTCAATTTTGTCGTTTTGGCCGTTCTTTAGGTATTCCATTTTCTATATTTTGTCGGATTTAGTCGCATTCTTTTTGGATTGTGTATTTTTCTACTTGGTGATTTTAATAAATTTTTATTCGTTATAACTCATAGGTTAAAATAAACACTCTGACGTCATACCTAAAAATAGATAGAGGTTGTCAAATGTACATGTATTATAATTACCAATCACAGGGAATTGTTATTTATATATTTTTGCTTAGTGTATCATTTGTACAATAGTTAAACGTTCATGCCAAATTTAGACAAAAATGAAATTGAATACTAGTATTTTAAAAATAATCGCTGATATAATTACCATTGGTAAGCCAACAATGACAATAAATATATGAAATAAAACAATTAGCTTATTAGTTGTCAATATTTAAAGGGGAATTTAGAACAAAGTCCGAAAATAAAATAAAAAATACTTTGGAAAATATCCAATAACTAGGTGATTTAAAATAATAGTAAAAATTGTTGTTTATAATTTTAATAAAACAATTTCATCCAAGTCAATATTTGCATGAATATACTTTGTATTTTAGAATTCATTTTATTTAGTTATGTCTATTATTTTTGGCGTCCGCGCCGAAGCGCGGCGCCTTTTATGTAATGAAATCAGATTTTGTGAAAGGGCGACAGCAACTTCTCGAGCCTTTATAGTTGTTCATAATAAAAGTCGATCATTCCGATCGGTATGAGGGTGCTTGATTATTAATTACAATGAATAGCGAACTGGAGAATTTCGAATTATTAATTAACCTTTTCCGTCAATAAATCGCGCTCTTCGGGGTATTTTTATTTATCATTTTGAAGTACACAGTGGGTTATTATGGTATGTTATTCCGAAAGCTGTAAATAGAATGTTGAGTTGATAACCTAAATATTCCGAAAATCTATTTATAGATGTACTCTTGTCGGTAATTCCCGGTCTCTCCTGGTCTATTTTGACGACCGGCGAATAGTACCACACGTTTATTGTCCGGTCTCTTCCGGTTTTGGAGTAGATGTTTGATATCGTTACAGAACAGAACAAATATTTTACAGATAAATAAGCTTTTTTTCAAAATGAATGTTTGTCACTTAGTTTGGTTACAATAATTAATAAAAATAGATCAACTCTCAAATTTATTGATTATTGTTATACATAAACATACAATTCGAAAAAAAAACCAACAACACAAATCGCATGTTTTATTTTATCTATCTGAGATAAAAACAATAAATATGTACAATAATTGAGAAAAAATGTACATTTTTATGGCATTAATATGACACTATCAACTTTGAAACATTTTATTTAATTTGTTATTCGTGTTTAGTAAAGATGCCGAGGAATTATTCAAAGTTACAAATCAGATTTTATGAATTATTCAATTGATTGATAATTTAAAAAATGATAAAGAAAAATACAAATGTATATACATGTATATGGTTTAAGAATAAACAATATTATATATTGAAAGTTTAACCATAATTTACTGACTTTTTCCTGTTGAGTTTTGACTTATAATCGTCGGTCATTATGACAATTTGTTCTTAAAATAGTAGTAAACGTAAAAACTCAGTATTAAAGTAGTGCATAAAACACAAAAAAGAAAAGAAAACAATATTCATAAAATCTGTATTTTTTTATTAAAAAAGATATTACAATTAGTGTATAATAAACATTTATGCTCAACATGGTAATACAACAAGTGTCATATTGTTACTAAGTGTGAACAGATAGCTTAAGTGGGGGTCTTCGCTAATAGCGATAACATAATAAGGGACAATTACACAAGTGTGGTGTTGATCATGCGTTACTCATATGGATTATAAATGATTGTATACATGTATATCCGTTGCTATTAATAACCACGATCATAAAGAAATAGCAAGTAGTATTCTAATTTCTAGCATGCCAATCAAAGTTATAAATAATGAACAATGTCTTTCGTTCGTTCATTCATAAGTGATATACAATTCTGGTAAAAACCAATGAACCATTGAACAGTTTATAAGAATATCTTGTCATTATATATCTACTAGTTCATCTGCACCTGCTGCATATCTTGTTTGGACGCCCTTTGATGCTAAGCATCAATGCTTTTCTTGTTCTTATTTAGAACACATGCATTTTTTATACTCCATCTCTCATGGAATTACACATACGTTTCGCAATTAAGGTTTGATTTGCCTAATCCCGATGTATAAGTTCCTCTGCAGATGTTTCTGAATGATAGATTTCACTATAATTGTGGTTTAACGTTAGGTTCTGCTTAAGCCGGTGTTAAGGGGTGGACAGTAGCTTGCACATGGCAACTTTCTTTCATGAACAGGCTTCTTTTTAACCAAACCTGTAACAGTTTCCTTTTTTCCGTTTGAAGTGTTCTTAAAGGCTTTCGGCTTTCTATTGAAATAGTTGAAGAAATCAAAATCAAAATATTATTATGTAAGTCGAATTAATAGATATTAAGCATTGATACAGAATTATTGAAGAAAATACATACCAACTGATAAAATAGGAATATACATGAGGTGAAGTTCAACCTTCGTCATTTAGTTTCGCATTTTCCGAAATCTAAACAGATTTAAATTTCTATCGAAGATATTGAAATGTAATTTAATCTAGATACAAATGACAGTGAAAAGATTTCTTAAGGTTTAATTTGTATGTTTAAAATACTTAAATGGGTATCGAACAGTTCACTTTATAAATTCGTTTGCAAATTTGTTAAGCGTATTTTCTTTAAAATATCTAAACGCCAATGAATGTATTGCTAGTTATACAATGAAAGTGGCCCTGTCATAGCCTACTGTACTTTCAAATAAGACCAGTCCGTTAAAGAGTTAAAATGTCATAAAGATTCTGAAAAAAAAGTGAGTAAACTTTTATTTTGCATGATGAAAAAAGATTCTTATAGTCTCAAGATTAGTCCGTAATGTTAAGGGTCGCCTACCAATTAGATGATTAAATATTTTCTTTCATAATTCAAATCGTGCTTATACATTCTATTTATATATATACAATTTATTGATTATATTTGTTTAGCAAAATCCAATTCTATTGAATGGCAACAAGATATTAAAATTGGAGACATCATTTCCACAAACAACAACGGATTGCACGTTCAAAGTGGCGGAACATTTTATATGTACACAAATATACAGTTCAAGAAAGATAATTGCACGGATGGCGAGTGAGTATCATAGGTTATGATATAAGTAATAAAATTTACGTACACACGTATAAAAAACATGATGATGTGATAGTTAATTACTTTTGTAAATTTCATTAATTTTAGAAAATATTATGAATAGAAAAAAAACAGAATTAACAAAAACCGCCAAAAACGGCAAAATTGAAACGTTTGCAGCATTGGTTTGATTGAGCCTGTTCATGGACAGCTACCGTTCATACCCCCTTGCATCGGCTTAAGCAGAATTCAACATTTAAACATGTTAAGCTCAGTTTGTTTTATTGATTTAGTAAAAAGATGATGTGTAAGTGATAAACGCCTGACTACATAGAACTGTAGTAATAGGGACAGTTCTGAATGGATGAAATAAAATGGCATTCCTTGGCTTCAGAAAAGTAACAAATGAAACTGATGAATTTATAAAACATGAAGATGTCTATACATTATTACCATCTTTTGTCTGTTATTTTTCAGGGTGTTTCAATATGAAATAATAGAGGACAGTGGAGGGCATAATAATGCTATAGCACATGTTAGGCAGAGTTGCATGGGTGTCACGAACTCCTTCTCACTATCCTTAAATTTTCAAAAAGTCATTAAGGTACCGAGTCATGAAACCGCTTCTTACTATCTAAACGTTATTTCTCATTCGTTGTCCCCATATCCTTGGGCCCATGTATTCGGTATCCTGGAAATTTGAGTTGCTGTCAGGTTTTCTTTTCAAATCTGATCTGATTATAGTTGTTTATTTATATATGAAGAGGGATTTATAATTATAACAAGAGTATAATGGATTAATGGCAAATTTTAACGATCTCAGTTTTGTTGTTGTTGCCGATGATTTTATGTATATGTATATGTTGCTACCTATGTAATTATTTATTGTATGTTTTATTTGTTAAAATATAATATATCATGTTTTATCATTTCCATTTCATGCTTGTAAGCATATATGGAATTGATAAAATTGCTCAACAGTAGAATTTAGTCATTTTACTGTCAAACAGTTGTGTTATATTGTCTAACATTTTAAATCAAGATATTTTTGGATTGTGCAAAATTGGTACTATTAACCGCTTTCAGGGACCTGGATCATCTTTTTAACGCCTTGTTTGTTTCATTATTTCAAATCATATTAGAAATAATGTCCAAAACGAAGGTACTTAAGATATGTAATCGATCACTTGAAGCATTTTTTTACAAGTGCATAATGCTTAAAATATATATGAATAAATTGGACGGGAAACCGCTTTGTAATCAAAACAAACGCTAAGAAATTTTTTTAATACGCATGCTCATGGTTTTTTGAGGGAAATAGATGCAATACATTTTGTTTGTGAAATATATGAGTTTGAACGAGGACCAAAATTGTTCAAGAAATTTCATGGAAAGCTCAAAAATGAAAAAAGTTGCTTGTTGTACATTGTATTATAGGGCAGACAAATCAACTACATGTATGTTTATTGTGTATTACTGTACATAATATATGAAATAAAGGGCATGCATATCAAATATTAAAATTGTTACAGTTTATATGTTTTTGTTCTATCGTTTGTTTATAATTATTTTATCAAATATGGCACGTGCAGAAGATAAAAACAGGTGTTTTCACCGAACAATACGGTTTGTTTTCATTTGTATAATCCAGGTGCCACTTGTCTCAATTTCATAAAATGAAAATTATACCAGTATTCACTTTAAGTAGCTATATATTTGCAACAAACAAACGACTGACAGGAATAAACGGAATAAACCTATGAACTAGAAAAAAAAGAATAACTTTCTATAAAGAAATGCTGAATAAAGAGCTTAACTGAATTTAACCATGTTTTCGACATCTTGGAGAATACTTAAAATCAGCCCATGATTATACAAACAAAGTGTCGCATGGCCGAGTGGTTAACGCTTCGGACTAGTATACTAATGATTGCTATCTGTATGGGTTCAATCCTCATCAGGGGCGCGTCGTTGTTTTCATAAGCAAGGAGGTTTACACTTATAAGTTATACATGAACGGATTCGAAAGTGTGTCAATAAGCTTATACATTCCTAAACTTAAACAATTGTATAAACCAAAAGATAAAAAAGCCTTTAAGAGGATGCTCTAGCTGAACATTAAGCTGGAACTTCTTCATATACTTTTCTTTTGGTTTGTGTATGTGTTTTATGTGTTTGTTTTCGCAAAAAAGAGAAGAATATTTATATTAAAAGCTATATTTTGTATCGAATTTCCACATTTGTGTCATGTACACCCCCCCACCGATAAGTATGTCCTTACTCTGTTATTCAAGGTAACTTGAATATTTATTACGTCATATTATACAATACGGTGATTTCCAAAAATGAAATAACCTAATATGTACACAGAATTAAATCAAGTTTTAAATTGTAATACGTAAATGTAACTATTTAAAGACTCCTACAAAGGTTGTCAATATTAAATTAAAGCGGGCGCAGTGGTCTTAAGTGATAATACTCTTTCACAAGAAAATCAGGGACACATGATCGATCCAGTTAAAAACGGATGTATCTTTAAAAAAAGTTATTATATTATTCCTTCATACCTTGGATGAAAAGAATCAATTGATTCTCCAAGACAGAAGTAATTTCTGTAACCCCTGACTTTTAATAGAAGGAAGTTAGTAGTCTATATGGGTTTCTGGTGGCAACTTTTAATAAACTTATTGAGAACCAAGGAAGAAATCAGATGACTCAACATTACTATTAAAAAAAAAGAAACAGTAAAGCAACAGCAACAACGTCGGAAAAATAGCTATGCGCTATTTATCTTTGTAAAAAAAGATAATAAAAAAGACACAAACCAAGATAGAAAAACAAAACAAAAACCCGAAAAAACACCTATTTTCTACAAGGTTATTTTTGGCACACTTATAAACTTGTAAGTAATTTTATCTAATAGATTACCGCAGCATGTGATATTTGTGTCATTTAGATATAACACTTGACATAATGAACTTTAGGTCAAGGTAAAACTTGTTTTTGTCACATTGTTACAAGAGCGTTATCAAATTTCAAATTATGCCCTATCCATTATCTGCATTTTCTAATTAATCTTTGGTGAGTTTATCTATGGTGGCATATTTCTGCCACCAGATAACCTGATAATTAAGTAGTTAATTAAGAGGTTAACTAGTTACGTAACTAGTTAACCTGATAATTAACTAGTTAATTAAGAGGTTAACTAGTTACGTAACTAGTTAATTTTTTTAATAAAGAAAAGATCATAACGGGAAAAAAATGCATGTTAGTGCCTGCAAACTGCCATCCCTTATTGTAAGCTTAATATTAAGAGGTTAACTAGTTACATAACTAGTTAACCTGATAATTAACTAGTTAATTAATAGGTTTACTAGTTAAATAAATACTTAACTAGTTAACCTCTTAATTTTAAGATGATGATATAATAAAAGGATGGCAGTTGCAGGCACTAACATGCATTTATTTCCCGTTATGATCTTTTCTTTATTGAAAAAATTAACTAGTTACGTAACTAGTTAACCTCTTAATTAACTAGTTAATTATCAGGTTAACTAGTTACGTAACTAGTTAACCTCTTAATTAACTAGTTTGTTATCAGGTTATCTGGTGGCAGAAATATGCCACCATATTTATCAATAACGTGACTTGTTAAATACATGTGAGTTGAATGCTTTGAAAAAAACAAAACAAATCTTTTATGTTTTTTTTATATTCAAATTGTCTGGTTTATTAATTTTTTATTGTATTTAATTTTATAAACACTTGTATTATATTTCTAAACCATTATAATGCGAAAAATATGTTAAATATATACATATAAATCGAGCGTCCTACTGAACAAGAAAGTGTATAACCTTGGTTGTTATCATAAAAAACGTTTGTTTATATGTTCTGTCACAAGTTATCTTAGTAAGTAGACTATAGACAGTTTATTACGCCGTTTATCACAAGAAATATGTTTTGTTTTTTTCTTGATAGAATAAGTAATGCTTTCATTTGCTCTGCTCTATTTCTAAAGTGAAGTTTTTTTGATAATGAAAACACACATTTCGGTAAAGAATTTAACTTTCTTTAAAGTATCATTCTTATCAAAGGCTCATATTGGGTTAAAATCGTAAGTTGGTACATTTGAACTGGTCAATTAACGCCAAATACATTTGTTAAAAGTAATCATGTTACTGCGTTATGTTAATATGGCGAGTTTTGTGGCGTACGATTTTTTCAAGTGTTACGTAATAATTATTCTACCTGTACGTCGTATACTAGCTTTCGCGTGCACATGTAACCGCCTAATACATATACCTATCACGTGACGAGCTTATATAACAATCGCAAGCGCGCACGTGATGAATAAATGATGTTATGCCACCGTACCTAACCCCTTTCCTCATTCGTTAATGGTTAGAGGCTTTTCATTGAGGTGGGGTCTGTATGAAAATGGTTGATGCTGAAAGGATAACCATTTTACCATTCTCGGTCAGAGTTAAAGATTTTACAACAACAACGACAACAACAACATAAACAACAAAATAAAAACAAACAAAAACAATTATGAAAAAAACAAAAACAAACGAACACAAAACGAATCTGATACACATGATATGCAGATGTGAATTTACAGCAAATGACATTTATTTTTTAATTAAACAGAAAAAAATTGTAATTTATTTAAACCTTTTAAACCAAGGGATATAACTACAAATAAATAAGCAAAATCCTCACAGTGATTACCTCCCTTGGCAGAATTGTACTGATAAAAGGGAGATCACTGCGTAGGAGATTGATAAATAAGATTAGCATAACACCAGTGGTGAACTACCTTGGAATTTATAATGCCCGAATAACTTTACTACAATTATAGACTATACATGTATTACCGTGATCTTAATCATAAACATACTAGCTACGTTTTCGGATGATTTATTTGTAAGAATGTCATTAAAATGTTTTATCAACGGACGGGACAAATAATGGATTTACAACGTATCAACAGTAGTGTTGGAGTCTAACATTCCCACCGTCCGCGACGAAGCGCGACGCCCTATATGGTTCGTGAAAGGGCAGCGCCTTTTCGTCGGTCATAATAGCCGATCATTCCGATTGGTAAGAGGGTGTTTGATCATCAAAAATGAAAAGTCGCGATTGGTACAATGAATAGCGAACTGTACAATTGCGCAGTGCAAACATATTCAAATCAAATTATCTTATCCGTCAATTAATTTGCGTTCTTAGGTTTTTTTAATTAATCATTTTGCAGTACACAATGGGTTATCATGTATGTTATCGTTGTACCTATAAATAGAATGATGACCTTAACATTGTGAAAGTCAGAAAATCTATTTATAGAAGTAGTTTTAGTTTACGAAACGGTCATTCGTGTCGCGCTATGGTAATAAATGACGGACTGGAGAATTTTGCAGGAAATGAAATACAAACATATTCAAACAATTAATTGCCCTCTTTATAAATCTAGAAAAAGTTTAAGTGGGCCATTTTTACGAATTGTTATATGAAAGTATAATCATTTTGAAATTGTCTTTCCGTTTGTTCTTTCCGGTTTTCTTTTTTAGACTTTTACCGTGAATATTTAAATAGTCCTAGCTCATAACTTTAAATGTCGCTTTTATTTTCACGTTGTGCGACAGTTAACAGGTCTAGTAGTAGTATACTATAAAACCTATTCGCTGTTCAAGTCTCTTTAGCTAAAATCGACAGTGATTTTTTGAAGACAATCGATTTTATGGTAGTTTGAGTGGAATGTTGGTTTGCCCAATATTGTGACATTTTCACTGTACAATTTTAACGTGTGTTGTTATGGGTTAATTGATAAGAATGTAAGCACACTGGTGGGTCAGACGAGAAATTCTTTAAAATAGTAGATTGACCTCGCAATAGATAAATTAACACACTTTGTTCATTTTGACTACTTATTTGTATGTTCCAAAGAAAATACCACATGAACTTGAAATTCTATCAAATATGTATGATAATATCCAAAAATCCCCCCTATATAGTATAAATAAACTTATACCATATAGGGAGTATATTTGGGATATCATAGACCTGTATATTTCGGATATTATCCTTAATGTTGATAGAATTTCAAGTACATGTGAAAAAAACAAAAACATTTTATATTCATATCATCTCTAGCATGTCTACCAAAGTTCATGATGAACAATGTATTTTGTCCGCCCATTCATAAATGATATACAATTCTGGTAAAAACCAATTAATCATTGAATAGTTATAAAAATATCTGGTCATCATGTCTACTAGTTCATTGTCACTTTTTATTTAGATCATTATAATTATTATGTATTTTTTTTTATTTCTACACTACTGTAAAGTCTTAATTATATTGTGATAATGTTTTGTACGTTAACATACGCACTGTTCGTTATCTTGTAAATATGCTTTTATTTTGTCATCATGGGCTTATAAGCCTTATTTTATTGAAATAAATTATCTGTCTGTCTGTCTGTCATGTAAAACATGATTTTTTTAGATTTTTAGACAAGATGATATTATAAAATAATTTTATATTAGTATATTATTTTAAGAAAATAAATGAACATTAATGAATCTACTTAAGATGTTTTTATATATATTTTTAACAGGAGGTTTAATATAGAACCCCAATTCTTGTCAAGCAAACTTCAAGATAAGCCTTGTTTGTGAATGATAGGCAGTTATAATTATGTGTCGTACACACCCAATGCTAAAATAAATGATAAAGAACTGATAGGTGAATTTATCTGCCTTAAAAATCTTTATTATCTAAAATTTTGTAAAGTCGTTATTTAAGTCTTATAGATAAAACAAAAATGTAATTGGATCAATTACACGTACTATACTGGAACGGTATTCCGTAAGAACGACACAATAAAATGAATACAATCTGCTGTATGACAATATTTAGGGATATCAAATTTCCTCTAATATTGATCGTGTAGGTGTGCGTGGGTTTATAATTTTATTGAATGTAATTACATTAAAGACTGTTACGTAACATGATAGGAAAGTACAAGGTTATTTCCTATATTATTTTGCAGTTAATTGTTCGTCAACTTGCATTGATGCAAGTAGCTGTTTCCGACTATTTCAGGGATGATGAGCCAGACATTTAAATATAGATTAATCTAGCGTGAGATTTACTGATACAATATTTAAGCGTCGGTTTTTCATATATACAAAACGTAACATAGCGTATTCATAAAAAGGAAAAGGATATTATAAGATTTTTTCTGGAATAAACTAGGACAGGACCGGTTAGTATTTTATAAGTTTTGTTTATTTACATATTAACGTAGAATTATTTATGTCTTGTAAATGATACGGGTCGCCGGTGGCAAAATCAGAAGACCAAGTTGTAAATCGGAGATATATTCAATACGTAAATGTAGCATGAAACTGTCAAAAAGAAAACATAAAACGGTGAGGGGCATCCGTGACCTAGTGGTTGAGATCGTTAACAATAAAAGATATACTTAAGCGTAAAACCATTTGTCAATATCTCTGTTAACTTGCCTCTCACTGCGTGACTTTTTATTCCTTCATGTGAGGAAATCATCTACTTAGGTGCCCGTTCGTGCCACGGGAGGGACCCGAGGTCTTCATCCACCAGTTAAGCTGGAAGGTCGTCATATGTCCTATACTGTGTTGGTGCCACGTAAACCCCCCCCCCCCAAAAAAAAAAAAAAACAAAAAAAAAAAATTAAAAAAATATTAAAAAAATAAGATAAATAGATAAAAAAATTAATAACTAAAAAACCTAAAAAATAAATATATATAAATAAATAAAAATAAAAAGTAAATAAACAATAAAAAGGATAAGAAAAAGAAACAGTTTTCTTGATAGTGATATATGTATACTAAATAAATGACACAGTTGTTTTTTTTTTTGCGTGATATTATAATTATATGTTTACCTAGTGACAACTTAAACAATATGATAACGTATCCATACCGGGATAGTGGACTTGACCACCACGTTACTAGATTGTACAGTTAAATACTTCCGGTTTTATTTTTAAGACATTGATAGACATATCATGCAACTCACTATAAGGAGGGTCATTTTAGATTAGATAAATACAAATGTATGTTATATATACATGTATAATACAAATTACAAACATTAGAATATAACATTAACTTAAGAGTAATTTAAATGGTCTTCTACATTCCCAGATTGCAATATGAAGGTCGTACAAACTTAACAGTGTTATGTAAAAGGTCTTGAGAGTGAATGGAAAATGGTCTTGCACTATAAAGTATGTTATACAAATAAACGTTAGAAAGCATACATTAGTTATCTTCATTTCAGATTTCCTTGATACATCAATATACTGATTGGTCAAATTGTATCAAATGGCTAACATAAGAAGGGATCGCCAGTGCATTGTGGAAGTATTTCAGCATCACACCCGGAGGGACTTTGATATTAGCAGCTTCATTGAAAAACTGAAAAAACTAAATTTAATAGATCAACGGCAATGCAATAATTTGCATAGCACACTAGACGATTCTGGATATGTTCAAATCGCTGAGCTTCTACGTAATTTGTTGCCCCTTTTGTCGTATGACAACGTTTGTTTTCTATTTGAAGAAGAGGGGTATACTGATATCGCTTCTGATCTAAGAACAAAAAGGTATACAATTCGTTACAGGAGACTCCCACAAATAGAAATGCCTCATTCTAAACGGACACATGATTACTACCAACATATTAAAAGCTGCATAGATAATAATTTGTTTTGGGGTGATAAAAGAGTAATATTAATGCAATTCATATACAAACAAGATGAAAAAATCATGATGAGTAGTGATGAAATATCGGTCCATGATCGACAGTTTGCCATGGAGCGAAAAGCAGCAGCTACAGTTTTACTAATTCAGCAATACAAGGACGTTGAAGAACGCAAACGAATATTGCATCAAGCAATAGGTACAGAAACGAACGGGGTTGATAATACATCATTGCAAATTGTTTTCCATTCAAAAATGGCAATAACAGAAGTTGAAGCAGGTAATATTCGGAAAGCTGAAGAGCATATCGTTAAAACAAAAGAGTTCTGTTTAATGTATATGCCTTGTTTTGCGGTAACATCCGCGTTCCATGACATTGAGTATACATATAAATGTCTTTACTTTAAAAACCCATCAGACGAAATGTTGGAAAAGATTCTCGTTGAAGGAGATATAGCTATTCAGAGTTTGAATGAAGAAAGTGAGGACGTTCAAAACCTCTGGAGAAGAATAATGCTATTGTTTATGGCATTATCATTGTTATTCATAACAGCAGATTTCGTGGTTTGCGACATAACGAAGATCAAAACAATTCATAAGAAACGCGCAAAGAAAATTTTGAAAGAGATTAAACGCTGCAGTCATGAAATCCAAATTCGGCGGCAAATGATATTAAATCTGTGTTTAGCCGTACTCGAGGAAGAAAATAATATTAAAGCCGCCGAAATGTATGCGAAACATGCAGTAAACAACGCAGAAAACGGTGGTTGTTTCCGTGATATAGAAAACCAAAATGTTAAGGCATACTTGAAAAGTATTCAAAGAAAAATGATTGCACAAAAAATAAGAAAATGTTTTATGCTTGTTTCTATTATAATTGGAATATGCTTTGGAATTCACTGTTTCATGGTTTATTTCACAACTGATGATAAATGTATCGTTTTCCTAATATATTGTTCTACAACGACTATTTGTGTGATTCTTGGTAACTATTTTAGTCAGGTTTTTCCATTTTCTTTCATGTCACGAGATTAAAAACTTAAGACATTATGCATTTTAGATGACTTTAGATAATTGTATGTTTTTAATGCATTATAATTGACATATAGATTTATCTCATTGTAACAATTTAAAACCAATGTAATATATATCAAATTTTTATTGCATTGTAGAAGAATAATGCAAGGTTCAAGGTCAAATGCGCAAGAGTATAAATACGAAGGTCGATAGGTCTGATTAATAATAATTATTAAAATGCATTTAAATAATAAACAATGCATTATTGCAAGAAATTTAAGCTTTTTCCGTTCTAGCATGCTTATAAAAAGAAACAATTCATAAGAAACGCGCAAAGAAAATCTTGAAAGAGATCAAACGCTGCAGTCGTGAAATCCAGATTCGGCGGCAAATGATATTAAATCTGTGTTTAGCCGTGCTTGAAGAAGAAAATGATATTAAAATCGCCGAAATGTATGCGAAACATGCAGTAAACAACGCAGACAATGGTGGTTGTTTTCGTGATATAGAAAAACAAAATGTTAAAGCATATTTGAGAAGTATTCAAAGAAAAATAATTGCACAAATATAAGAAAATGTTTTATGCTTGCTTTAATTGTAATTAGAATTCACACAGGCGCGGAGCTATTTGTGTTTTCTATTTTTTTTGTCCATGGACCCGATTTTTATCAATTAATCCCTTCGATTTACAGCTAAAAATAAATTCGGACGCACGATTTCCTTTCGATTTTTTTATGTAAACTCATATATTGGTCTCCCCTTCGGTGATAATGAATGAGAACGGGAACAAAGCTATAAATAGATATGACCTTAACATTGAGAAAGTCCGAAAATCTATTTATAGACGTAGTTTAATTAACCGCTAAGGTAATTGAACGAACTGAAGAGTTTTGCAGAATGAAATGAAAACATATTCACCCTTATAACTTATCGAAAAAAATAAATAAATTAATAGCTCCCCTGATTATTTAAATCAACCCTGGTGTCCCGAATTTTTGCTATAGAAGTTGATTCCATTTTGTTTGAGTGGAATGTTGATTGGCCGAATACTGCCACATGTATTTTAACGTCGAGGTGTTATGGGTTTATTGATAGGAATGTAAACACACTGGTGGGTCAGACGAGGATTTTGAAACAATACAACAAAATAGTAGTCCCAATAAATCAAGTTACGATAGCTCTTTATTTATAACCTATGTCAAGTAGCTTTTATATCTTTGACTCCATGAACATCACACCGTACAATCAAATGGGCAGAGCGCAGTTCAAGCGTCGACAGTTGTACCGGTATATACATGTCGGCGACACTTCAACTGCTGTCTGCTTAATTGATTGTACGGTGTGAACATAATGTTAGTGAACTTCCTCATACCCTATGATACCTGTCTAAAAACAGGTAACAGCCTTCCATTGATAAATAGTGTTTCAATATATCAACATGCCATGCAAATTTATTCATGATTTTAAATGTACCATTATTTTTGTCAACGCGTATAACAAAAATATCCTGAATTTGGTCTTTTAGAAATTCATCCTTCCAGTGTGTGATTTTCTTTCAGTATTTATCTGAGACTTAAAATAAAGCTACTATATCTTAAGTCCAATGCATCAAAAGAAACCATTTCTGTTATATTACAATATTAGTCTCTTCTGTAACTATGTTTTATATGCTGTTTGTATCTTTGTTACAATTATAATAAAAAAAACAGACTTTGTTCAATTTGACTACTGTTTTGTATGTTCCAAATTTAATATTTTTATTTTTAGCAAGCCGACCAAAGTTCATGACGAACAATGTCTTTCGTCCGCCCATTCATCTATGATATACATGTACAATTCTGGTAAAATCCAATTAACCATTGAAAAGTTTAAGAGAATATCTGGTCATCAGATGTCTACTAGTTCATCGTCACCTGCTGCATTTCATGCCATGCTTGGACGCCATTTGATGCTTGTTTAACATGATATACCATTTGGCGCGCAACATGTAACGGACATTTTGAAAAATAAGGTCGATTTGGCTTATTTACATGTGGATTTTAATATTTCCTACAATGTTGATATTTGTTGAAAGTGAGTAAATTTATAGGTAAAAAAGTAAATGTACATGCTTTGATATTTTTATCATCTAATATAACTGACTACAGTAGTGACACAAAAAGAACAATGTTGCACACATCCCCTATCTCCAGGGTCAAGGTCGCACTTGCTCATTCAAGGTCAACATTGTCTTTTTGAGGGTATATATGGTGTGTCCGGTTCATAACTTTCTTATCTTTGAAGTGATTATGTAAATATACTTGCCACAATTGTTCACAATAATAAGACATTGTGTCGTGCGCAACAACCAGTCACCTACCTCCAAGGTCAAGGTCACACTTGGAGGTCAAAGATTAACATAGTCTGTTATAGGGTATTTTCATAGATCAAAGGATTTTGAAAATACTTGGCACAAATAGTCACTATAATAAGACGGTGTGTCATGCGCCACACCTGCATCCCTACCTTAAAGGTCAAGGTCACACTAAGAGGTCAAAAATTAACATAGTCTGTTATAGGGTAAATTTTGTGTCCGATCATAGTTCAAGGTATTTTGAAAATACTTTGCACAAATAGTTACAACAATAAGACGATAATGTCATGCACAACACCTGCACCCTACCTCCAATGTCAAGGTCACACTTAGAGGTCAACGCTTAACATGATAGATTTTTAATTTCCGTGTTTTATTTTATTTCTTTAATAAATTTAGTTTTGCAGTTGCAGATCTAGCATGTATCATTATTTTGGACTGAAAGTCCTGAGATCCATACCTCAATCTTTTGAAATTATTTTTAATAGCACAGTTTTAAGCTTCATATAAAAGTTCCCTGAGGCGCGGGACGTTGGTAACTCTGTTACAAATTCTTGTCTAAATAGAAAATGACTTGTGCACAGAAATGATTTGGTATGGTATCTGTAATAAGCGCATTCTTTTGCGAGGGGCATTGCAGCAACATTTGTACTTGTAACTTTTATATTAATAATATTAATCCTAATAAATTTGTTTGACAACGACAACTTCAGTGGTTCTTGGTTGCTATTTTAAACATATTTTTTCATATGGTTTCATGTCACGAAACTAAGAAATAGACTAAGAAACGGACTAAGAAACTTAAAGTTTTATGCATTTAAGATCAAAATATATTATTGTATAGGATGAATTTCATTTTATATTTATATGTTAATTTTATAGCGATTATCGAAGCATGTACGTTTAAAGATACTTCACCCTTAATCCCAGTATTTACAAATTCATACAATTGTTAAACGTAAATAGAACATTGGTCATAAGAAAATAAGCAATATTTTGTATTATTAAAGCGTTTGAAGAATAGGGAAATTTTGTAGATTTACATATCAATATGATATAATTAATAGATTAATTTATTTTTCGACATTCTCAATTAATTTGATTAACACTATCATGTTTTGTATGTATTTTATATGTAAATATTACTGATTGAATTTATTATGATTTGATTTCTTGATGCATGCATTGTATGTTATGATGATGGGTGTTGAGCCCAAGTCAGAAATGAAGTTTGTGTTCTGTTCCGTTTAATCAATTACATACATTTTTTTTTGTTTGGTACAGATGTAAATTTTCTCCATTCGATTTGTGTTATATAGCATTTTTATTTATAACATTTTTTTCTTTGACTTTAATATTGTAAGAGCTATTTCTCAACTGTTTTCATTGTGGCACGGGTTCAACGGCTACACGAACGCTGCACAAACAAAAGTAATTCAAGAATGTACATGTTACCCTTATTGGGTATTATTTTAAGCTTTTGAGGAAATTACTGATTAATCCGTGAAACTTAAATTATAATTTTATAGTGAACATTATCAAAATATGATTTCACGCTTATCTTCTTAATAATTTCCCCATGCGGTACCTCTTTTTGTTTGGTACGTATACGTCATGTTTTCTAATTTCGATTTGTGATATCATATTTACGACCAAAAACAAACAACACAATTTCTTTTATTAGGGCCCGTCTACACCTATCCAAGTCTTGAATGCAAGTATCATATTCTCTTGTATTGGATAATGTAGACACCCTACTTGAATGAGTTTTAAAGAGAAATTATGTGACATCCAAGAAGATAATTCCTTGCACGTTCTATTTTTCTACAAGTTTTTGGCTGTCAAGACACTGATAACACCGTTTGACACAAAACATGTGCCCCGAAGGGTTTTTTTTTTATTATTTTCTGACTTTTTGTTACTGATTCAGTGTTCATGATCTGTAAATTTTAGTAAATGTATAAAATATCTTTGTCAGAGGAACAGATCAATACACTGATGACTGATACACAGAAGAGCAAAAAAAATCAAAAAAAAAAAAAATCAATTTTTCAAGTAGTCAAAATGGATTTTAATTTAGTGAATAACTTTCATCAAATAAAAAATTTGCATCAATTTACCAGCTCAAAAAATAATTTTCTCACATTTTCCATCATTTTAAAAGAATGTACACATTTCAATTTCATTAACTCCATTGTTTTTAGCTTAAATTGCATCATTTTCCCGCTTTTTTTTCCCGCTTTTTTATTCACATATTTTACAGAAACATGATAGTATTTCAAAGACAAAGGTATAAATCGTGGGCAATCTTAATTAGAAATTTCAGTAAAAATTGTTCCAGATTAAATATTGAAAGGGCCATTTATTTAGCTTATCTAAATGTGACATGTAAGAAACTTGAATAGGTGTAGACACGGCATAAGCTAATGCTGTACAGACAAGTATGTAGTCATCATTGCGTTTTAAGCTAACGCTGTACAGACAAGTATGTAGTCATCATTGTGCAATATTTATTGCTTTTAAGTGGACTACTGATTTATTCGTGAACTGTTCATAAATACAAATATTATCAATATAATTTCGTTATTTCCCACCTTTTAATGAATTTAAAACTTGTTTATACTGTCCCCATTTGGTACATCACTTACAATTCCAACACTACCAGGCTTCTTTCAAGAAAAACAAAGCTGAAATTGATAAAAAATCAAATTTGCAAACGTAATCAAATAGATAAAACTTACGTCAATATGTTAAATTTCACAGGATATAAAAAAATGTTTATAGATTTATTGCCTGGTTTATGCCTGAAAACGGGATAAGTGTTTTTCTCTGAATGCTCCCACTCGGACTTTTCCCGAAACATATAAGAAATAAGGATGAAAACCTTCTTGAAAATTATTTTTAAACTAGGCAATGGATCTATAAACTTTTTTTACAATTATCTCAAGAACTATAGCCATCTTTGGTGCGCTACATGATTTTTTGATACTCTTACGTTTTCTTATAATAAAATTGTATTTAAGCTTCGAGTCGACGAAAAAATGGTCCAAGTGGGAGCATTTAGCAGGTGTGCGATGACGTAGTATCCTACCATTGCATATGCAACTGAAACACAAGGGTACAAGCGTCTTCGCGCGCATAGTGACCTAAAAGCATGCATTTTAATAAAGTCATATTAAACCCAACATTTAGAAAGCGGACTGGTAGTGACGTAATAAAGTGAATATTAGTCCGATTATTGGTTTATTGGATTATTGGTGGACTTTCCCTACGGGTCTGTCTTCAGCGTTCACGTCATGTCATTGTAATAATTGGATACGCTGAAGACCTTAAGCTAATACATTCCTTATCAATCGAACAAACAAAATTGTATAAACCAAAAGATAAAAAAGCCTGTAAGAGAATGCTATAGCTGAACACCTCATATACTTTTCTTTTGGTTCGTGTGTTTTTCCCCGCAAAATGAGGGTTAATTTTGTTTAAAGCTATGCTTTTTTATCGAATTTTCACATTTGTGTCACCCCCCACTCCCGATAAGTATATCCTTAGTCCTTACTCTGTTATTTAACGTAACTTGAATATTTCTACGTAATATTATACAATACTGTGATTTCCAAAAATAAAATAACCTAATATGTACACAGAATGAAATCAAGTTTTAAATGGAAATACGTTAAAGACTCCTTCAAAGTTTGTCGATATTATAAAAGCGGGTGCAGTGGTCTTAAGTCTTAAAAAAGTATTGAGAACAAAGGAAAAAACATATTATTAAAAAAAAAAACAAAAAAAAAAAACAACAACAATATTTAATAAAATAACTATACGCTATTTATCTTTGTAAAGAAACAAAAAAAAAAACAACAAAAAAACCCCCAAAAAACCAGAAAAACAACGGAAAACACATATTTTCTACAAGGTTATTTTCGGCACTCTAAGTTAGTTTATCAAATAGATTTACACAATATGTGAGTTCATAAAGATAGAGCATTTGACATAATGAACTTTAGGTCAAGGTAAAACTTGTTTTTGTGTTACAAGCGCGTTATCAAATTTCAAGTTAGATTATGCCCTAATTAACGATATCTATAAACTACTATCTGCATTTTCCAATTAATCTTTGCTGAGTTTATCAATAACATGACTTGTACTTTGTATGTATTTTATTTGTTTAACTTGTTTAAAATACATGTAAGTTGAATGCTTTGAAAAAAAATCTTTTATGTTTATTAATATTGAGATCATAAAAGCGCCACTGTCTGTTATATTGATTTTTGTATTGTATTTATTTTAATAACACTTTTACTATATTTCTTAACCAGTATAAAGCGTATAATATGT